ACATTTTAAGGACTGTCTCTGCAAACGCATACCCTAAAACAGGAAAATATATAATTATAAGTTATGCATTCCACAGATATCTGTGTGGTGGGCCTCTCGCTATATATTACAAAGCCAGCCATTAGCCCATTTCATAAAAATTTAATCAGGAGCATAAGACTCAGTACTTAGAAATATCCTGCAATCCATATTAGATAATAAAAGAATATGATTTCCCTGTTATTTGTGTTGAATCCAACTGGTTCATTCCAGTATGTTGGCCTGGTTATTTTTGGCTGAATATACATGTATTTGTATACTTGTTTTATACTTGTAAATTTTTTCTTGCTGTAGCCTGCTCTGGGTAAGTCCAATATAAAAAATAAATTTGAATGCATACACCTACTGCAGTGTTAATCAGATCCTGGAATAAGAAATATTGTATCCAGAGGTGAATGCAGGAAGCACCCTTAGTTGCATCTGAGTTATGATCTGTGCATAATTTCCCAAAGCAATCGAGTCAGTAATTTTATTCTCCGTGTTTACAGACAATTAATAGATCTTTCTGAAGAAGAAGAAGAAAGTCACTTGAGCAGTAGAACAGGCCGAAAGCCAATTCAGTTTTCTGGTCCGTCCACAAGTACTCGCATCACAATTAAGAATTCTGCTTTTGTAAAGGTAGCAGGATGCCCTACATCTTCCCGTTCCCAGAAGACTCTCAAGCGACCTAGCAGAGACAGTTCGTTACTGTGCAAAGACGTACCAAAACCCACACAATTGACTAAAAATTCTCAAGAATCCGTTAGGAGCACTGAAAATGGGGCAGACTGTCACAGGACGCTAAAGGCCCCGTTCTCGAAGAAGCCTGCAACCAGCCGTGCGGTCAAACTCAAGCGGACTCCGCTCTGTAACGACCGGTTAACTCAACACACTTCCCAGGTGCTGAGTACGGTAGCTGAGCACCAAGTTCCATCTGTTGCAGTTGGCTCCACTCCTGCTTCCCAAAACTTAGGCCAGGAGGAATTTGGACACTCCGAGGAAAACGTTACCGCTAAGAATCATTTACAGGAAGACCAACTGAACGATGTGGCATGAATTTTATATATATGGTGTTATCCGTCATGATCTGCTAGAGACAGAATTCTGATCTTTTGGGAGTCCTAATAAATGTGACACATTTGGGAGGGGGGAACATTCACATTTATAATCAGATTTATAATGATTTTTCTCTTTGCGTGGCGAAAGAGGCCTATGGATGTTGGTTCAGAAATATTACGTGCTTTTTGTCGTTCACTCATTACATTATATAAATAAAATTTGAGCTGCTCAGTCATTCTAGAATAGAGATTGTGCCAGGCTTTGTGTACACTTTGTCCCTTTTTCCCTAAACCCCCAATTTTCCCACTCCATATACTTTTTGTGTGACTTATTCTGCATCTCTTTCCATTTTGTGTAACTTATTCTACTTCTGCTCCTCCTGAACAGCATCAAGGGCTTATGGAGGTCAGTGAAAACTCTGTGCTCCACAATTCTAGTTTCTCAGCAGGCATTGTCCACATTTTTTCAAGTGCATCTATGTAGCTGTTTGGGCTATATGGCATACCGTATTTTTCGCTCTATAAGACGCACCAGACCACAAGACGCACCTAGTTTTTGGAGGAGGAAAACAAGAAAAAAATATTCTGATTCTCAGAAGCCAGAACAGCAAGAGGGATCGCTGCGCAGTGAAAGCAGCAATTGCACAGCCTGCATTCGCTCCATAAGACGCGCGAACATTTCCCCTTACTTTTTAGGAGGGAAAAAGTGACTCTTATAGAGCAAAAAATACGGTACCTTATAATCTGCACCACGGGATCTTCCAGTAGACCTTGAAAATTAGGCTACATTTTGAGAACAAGCCTTGGGCTTGCATACTGTCCCCCTTCTCTGGCACAACTAAGAGGAGACTGGAAACCCTCTGCTTGTATGTGTCTTTTGAACTCTAAAAACTGTAGCTAATGTTAGCTAGATTTGGTTGAAACATGCCAGTTCCATCAACTAGGATTTTAAATTGGGTCCATAGTTACAATGAACTAGTGTGCCTGTGCTTGAAGAGCATGACTAGTTGTAGTTAATATAAAACAGAAGTGAGATTTTCCGAGTATAGTCATACCTCGAGTTCCATTTGCTCCATGGTACGTTTTTTCAGGTTGCGTCCCGGGGCGACACGGAAGTACCGGAAAGGGTTACTTCTGGGTTTCGCCGCTCGCGCATGCGCAGACGCGCAAAATGAACGTCATGCGCAGACGCAGGTTGCGTTCTGCTCATGTTGCAAATGGGACTCCGGAACGGATCCAGTTCGCAACCAGAGGTACTACTGTATTTAGGCATGTGTCAGAAGAGGAAGGAGGAATGCGTCAGCCCAGGCCTTGGTGTAGCTTATATTTGTAATACTATGTTATGACCAATGTTTTGGTGTAGATTAGGAGCTCAGAGCTATGAACCATGGTGTCTGGTTTGAATTCCCACTCTTCTCTCATCCTTAGTACTCCACCTGCGATATGGGGATAATAATGTAGCCATTCCTTGCAAGTTCAGCATGTAAAGATTATTGACAAATCAGGAGCTGCTACATTATTAAAATCAACTTGAAGTTTTGAGCCATGCATTCTGGTTTGAAATCAGTGCATTCAGTCAGATGAGATATGCCTGCTGGATTTTTCATTTTAATTTTAAAAAATCTGTGTTAAGAAAACTCTTGTCTACAGTAGCAGGAGAAATCAGCTTTCACAAATTGGAAAATGATGAACCCTGGCAATGTGATGAATGTGATTCAATTTTTATTGAGCCATTAACTTGATTGAGAGTAGCTCATCAGTCTTCTAGTGCTTAGTGTTTGATTTGAATTGAGTGCTCTGACCTCATTTGTAACATTAAAATCCGTTTTAGGTGGATCTTATTAATGATAATACTTTTGTCAATGACGTCACAAGAAACATGTTTCTGCAAAGCTTGGTAAAAAAAAACTTCTACAAAAGCAATAAATTCATGTTAACTAAAAGAGATCATTAACTAAAAGAAAGAGTTGTAGAACAAAGCTTTGTCCTTTGTTTTATTTATTAAATTTATTGCCTTTCCTCCCAAAAGAACTTTTAGGCCTGCTAATATATTGGGTGGGCTGTGCTCTTTCCGCTATAATACTTTTATAAGTACTGCTACATTTCACATAATCTATAATATGACTTTAGTTAATGATTATTTATTACAAAAGTGCATTCTGAGCCTAAAATGACATTTAAAAAAATACCGTTTATACCTAGAGGTGGCAGTAGAGCTGGATAGGTAAGGGAAAAGAACACAGGACACCCAGTCAAAGTTGATTTCTCTTTCTAGTCTCTTATATGAGAAATACGGTGGAGTAATCCTGCCCCCCCACTTGAGAGGATGGCAATACAAGGAGTCCAGATGTAAAATTCAGTATGACAAAATCATTTGCATGTGACAGAGCATGGGTTAGTCAGCCTGTTAACTGTCCTTAGGAGATGCCGTTCATATGGCTTTCATTAAAATAGCTGTAGGGTGGAATGTGAAAATGAATGATAATTTCATATGACAAGCACATGATTGTTTTAGAATCCATAGCATGACTTTTTTAACAATGAATCTGGGGAGATGAAAAGCTGTCATAAATTAAGTGAAAACATAATGTTAAGAATTTGTCGGATTCTCCAAAGGGAGGGAATGTGGGGGTGTCTTTATTGAATCTTTACTGCTTGCCATTTTGGACTTACCCCCTGACTATCATTTGGAACTTGGAAGGGTCAGTAGATCTCCTCTTCCTAAGCAAGGCCATTTGCTTCCCAACCAACATTCGCTGTCATGCAAGGCAGAAAAAGAATAACGCTCAGATTTTATTTCCAGATCCAATAGAAGCGGTTGATCGATGACAAGACATTTCAGGAGTATGTCAAATGGCATGCGCTCAGTACTTCCATGGTACTTCCAGTCTCTGACGCATGGACCAATGATGGCAGAGCATTTCTCAGCAAGCTTGGATCCACTACAGCCATAGCCGACTGAGGGATGAAGAACACTGCCAGCATGTTGAATTTCCTCAAATTGGTGACTGGTCATTATTAACTTCATGACTACGGTGTTCCACCCCTGTCTCCTTCCATTACCACTTGCTGTCTCTATGGCAAGTTGTTGCTGAGTTATTTTTTCAGTGATAAAGCTTGGGTGAGTATGTTACTCCAACGAATGGAGGCAGATGTAGAAGCTTAAAAAATGGAAAACGGAAATTGCCTTCATTTAAGAGGCTCATGTTCCAAAGGTGGGTACGGAATAGTGCAACACCTTTTCTAGTGACAGTACCTCCTCTCCCTGCTCCACCCCCCTAAAAAAATATTATCAGCTGAATGGATTTAGGGAAGAAGAGGAATCTCACTTTGCATTAGGATTTTAAAAGGTAAAAAGCAAGACGATTTGGGAAGAAAGCATGGAAAGCTACAAATACTAGGTAAAGGGACCCCTGACCATCAGGTCCAGTTGTGGCCAACTCTGGGGTTGCGGAGCTCATCTCGCTTTATTGGTCAAGGGAGCCGGTGTACAGCTTCCGGGTCATGTGGCCAGCATGACTAAGCCACTTCTTGTGAACCAGAGCAGCGCACGGAAACGCCGTTTACCTTCCCACCGGAGCGGTACCTATTTATCTACTTGCACTTTGACGTCCTTTCGAACTGCTAGGTTGGCAGGAGCTGGGACTGAGCAACGGGAGCTCATCCCGTCACGGGGATTCGAACCGCCAACCTTCTGACTGGCAAGTCCTAGGCTCTGTGGTTTAACCCACAGCGCCACCCGCGTACCTCTACAAATACTAGCTGGTTACTAATGCAGGCCAACATTTGTGGACCGCTGTCATAGAACAGTGAGCCCGACATCTTCCTTTTCATCATTAGGGATGGCTGATTTGGGGAAAAGGTAACAAGGTAACAACAGAATCCAGATGGTTTGGTTGCAGCAAAATAAAACACTGCATTTTGTAAAATTGTTTGTTTTTTAATAAAAAGGGGGAATATTTTTTCCGAAGTACAGTCTTGGGCTATTTAAAGCTGTGAGCTTGTTTTAAAATATAAGCCTGGGATTTTGCATGTGCTCAGGTATGATATACATGGTATCCTGTCAGATTTGCAAGACACACAGGCCATAATTCAACAATCAATTGTATAGGATGAAACCCAAAGAAATCAAGTGCATACAACTCCATACAGGTTTGTGGCCAATAGTGCTTAAATAAGGAAGGGATGTCTACAGCGATGAACAAGAAAATAAAAGAATCTCAGACTGAAACGTGTCTGATTTTTAGTCTGCAAAGATAATTGAAAAGGATTTAAGAAGCTAGAAAACTTACTCTTACTTTTTCAGTTCAAAATTTATATCTTACCCAATCTTGTACAAGTGGCACAGCACAGAAAAATATTAATATGCCGTTTGTTAGCTAGTATTTGGGACTCATCTTGACAATCATTCAGGCTATAAAAACTCAGTTACATCAAACTGAACCATGAGGTTCGTTCTGCACAAACAATTTGGGGTCCATATAAAATGGAAATAGTTAAGAGCAATTTTATATGAACACAAGTATCTTGATTGCAGACCAACAATAGGAATGCCAGGATTACCCTAATACCAACCTTTTGGACAGTAACAAACACATTATCTATATTGACATCCTCCTGCCATTTATTTTTAACAAGAATTTCATTGTTTTACTAGGCACTAGCTAGCTAAAAGCTGCATTGTTATGAGAAAAAACAATATCGAGTATATTGAGCAAAGCCTTTATAGTATGAAATGAGATATGGCAGATTACTGTGGTTTAGAAAACCCCCAGTAAGTTTGGTTTACCACGATTGTAGTATTCTACACAAGCTTTTTTTTTTGTGTACAGTATTTGGAATAAAAAGAAAGCACCTTTAGTGAGAAACTTAAATATGAAAATGCATTACATTTGCTAGTCGTCTGTCTTTCCAATCCTCATGCCACCAGTGTCACAGCTGGCACTGAAAGGACAGGGGCCTCTGTGGAGGTTTCTATTCTTGCAGGACGTAAGTTGCACTGAGAAACCCTTGTAATATTGCTGCATAAAGGCCTGGGCTCTGTGGGGCCTGGCACAGGATGCTTTCGCCTTGTTTTCTCTGGATACGTTACAGTTTCCATGCTTTTTGCTGCTGCAGAATGCTCTTGGGTTTTAAAAGTGCCTTTGTTTTTTGACCGGAAACTATTATGGTGCTGTCTTCTGTATTCCTGCCGAGGGCTGCCTTTTGTGCTGTTCTGATCTGACTCGTTAATGGCACTTGGAGACTTAAGCGGTCCATTGAGCCGAATTCCATGATACTGCGTGTGAAATCTCCGCCTGTGGCTAGAAGCTGCATTCTGTCAAGGAAGAAAACGAAGGGTTATGGCAATCGTGGATTTTGGGCTTTCAAGCTTCAACGACGCCCTGTGCAATGCTAAAACATGGCCTGCGGTCCCCCCCCCCTTGTGCTCCATTCTACAGCAATGTTGTGGCACCCCCTGCAGCACGGCCGCACCAGTTGCGCTTTTTAAAAATGCCTCTGCCAATGGATGTGGTTGCATCTTTCCTGTGGCCATTTTTGGTGAAAGCCGAGTAGAATCATTCTCATTATGCCTGTATACCTGAAGGAGCTTCCCCACCTCCATCATTCAGCCCAGAGATCCAGCTCCAAGGGCCTTCTGGCGGTTCCCTCCCTGTGAGAAGTGAGGTTACAGGGAAGCAGGCAGAGGGCCTTCTCGGTAGTGGTGCCCGCCCTGTGGAACGGCCCTCCCATCAGATGTCAAGCAAATAAACAACGATCTGACTTTTAGAAGACATTTGAAGGCAGCCCTGTTTAGGGAAGTTTTTTTTATGTCTGATCTTTTATCGTGTTTTTAATATACTGTTGGGAGCCACCCAGAGTGGCTGGGGCAACCCAGCCAAATGGGTGGGGTATAAATAATAGATTCTTATTATTTTAATAATATTATTACACCTCCACGCATACTTATTAAACATAAAGTTTGGGATCAAGACCATTGCTGGCCACTGTGGCCTGTGTGCAATTAAACATGGGCAGGCTGGAAGAAGAGCCCTGTGGCGGTTGGGCGTCTGACGCTTTCTCGCTGCCTCCGCATCCAAACAAAGAGGAGATTGGAGAACAACGAAGGAGACACTGCAGGAGACACTCAGAGAGAACAGGAATGTTATTGGCAGAACCAAGAAGGAGGGATACCTGAGATTCTGGTATTGAATTGTGGCAAGAGGGGAATAAGGATTTCCTAAGGAGGCCTGAGAATTAGTGTGAAAGCCTCTTCATTGTGTGCTTATAATTTTCTGGAGGACTGCTTTGTCGAGCTGACTACTGGACCATGTTGAAAGGGATAAAGAGCTGCCATGCCTTCTCCATGGTTAGTGCTTTCCTATTCACCATGAACCATATCTTCCCAGGTACTTTTGACCGTGGAACAACAACAGCAATGACAACAACAACATTACAAGGTCCTTTCTCTGAAAATAAGAGTACAATTTGCAATCTTAAAAAGTAGAGACATCACCTGGCCAACAAAGGTCCGTATAGTTAAAGCTATGGTTTTCCCCAGTAGTGATGTATGGAAGTGAGAGCTGGACCATAAAGAAGGCTGATCGCCAAAGAATTGATGCTTTTGAATTATGGTGCTGGAGGAGATTCTTGACTGCAAGAATTATGGTGCTGGAGGAGATTCCCATGGACTGCAAGAAGATCAAACCCATCCATTCTGAAGGAAATCAGCCCTGAGTGCTCACTGGAAGGACAGATCCTGAAGCTGAGGCTCCAATACTTTGGCCACCTCATGAGAAGAGAAGACTCCCTGGAAAAGACCCTGATGTTGGGAAAGATGGAGGGCACAAGGAGAAGGGGATGACAGAGGACGAGATGGTTGGAGAGTGTTCTCGAAGCTACCAGCATGAGTTTGACCAAACTGTGGGAGGCGGTGGAAGACAGGAGTGCCTGGCGTGCTCTGGTCCATGGGGTCACGAAGAGTCGGACATGACTAAACAACAACAATTTGCAAAACCAAATCAAATTAATTCTAGTGGGTGTTGTGCTGCAGGAACAGAACGAGAGTGTTTCTAGGTAAGTTAAAAATAAAAAAGGTAAAGGACCCCTGGACGGTTAAGTCCAGTCAAAGGTGACAATGGGGTTGCAGTGCTCATCTCACTTCCAGGCCAAGGGAGCCAGCATTTGACCACAGACAGCTTCCAGGTCATGTGGCCAGCATGACTAAACTGCTTCTGGCACAACAGAACACCATGACGGAAACCAGAGGGCACGGAAACGCAGGGATTCAAACCGCTGACCTTCTGATCAGCAAGCCCAAGAGACTCAGTGGTTTAGACCACAGCGCCACCCATGTCCCTGTTGTTGAGAAACTGTGTACGTGTGGCTACTCACACAGAGTCAATTAAGGTTTGGCAGACAGCCAGAAGGCAATCTGAAGGAGTAAGTCTGCCTGGTGATAACAGAGACATGGAGACCGCTCCCTGATTGGTCAAGCTCTCTCAAAGGAGTGATAATTAATGGCCTACTAACTGGTAGTTCAGAGTTTGGAGTTCATGAGTTCAGAGTTCTGTGTCAGTGTAGGAGTTGTGAGTCATATCAGAGAGAGCTAGCATAAGATCCGTGTTCTGTTCCTGTAAAATAGTCCACTGTATATAATAAACACCTAACTACAAGTTCCTGTTTCCTGCTTCGTCTATTCTGTCTGCAGCCAAGTTGCCAATTGCTTCTGTGGATTCTGCGTGTACTCTGCTAGGTCTGGCTAAGGTCCTGCAACTAGTCAGAAAGTTGCGAAACACCAAATAGGTTTTACCAATACCTGTTTCTACCCAGTGCAGGACTGATAATGTGAAAGTAGGAGATAGCTTGATATTACTGAGTTTCTGATTCCAGGGAAGTTAAGGGGAGTGGATAATAAATTACAAACTTTGAGAAACGTTTTGGTCTTTTCTTAAAACAAAAACAAGATACGAGATATTGGTAGGGATTGAAAGCCACTATTATTTTCTGTACCTTACCTGTTTGTTTGTTGAAATGGTCTGAGGAGAGGATTCTGTGGTGTTTGTGCTAACTTGGCTGGAGACTTTAGGTGTTGCTGCTTTGCCATCAGGAGTCTTGGCACGAATTCGATTTGAAGACTTTTGGATGTATGTGTTTGGTATGCTGGTTGTTGTGCGCAAAGATGTCGACTGCAGCAGTGGGCCGGATGGTGTTCTTGAGGAATAATTGTTCTTTGGGTGAGAAACTACAAGGAAGAAAAATGCCCAACACTCGCAATCACAAAAGAGAGCTTTTGGTCCCAAAAGGCAACAGTTTAACTGAGGGCAGAAAGGAGTCCGTTTTTTGTTGCTGTGTGCTGTGATTTGGCAACCAACAGTCATCCAAGATAATAAAAATAATCTTTGAGTAAAGTTTTGGATAAAGGTAAAGGGACCCCTGACCATTAGTTCCAGTCGTGACCGACTCTGGGGTTGCGGCGCTCATCTTGCTTTATTGGCCGAGGGAGCTGGCGTACAGCTTCCAGGTCATGTGGGCAGCATGACTAAGCCACTTCTGGCGAACCAGAGCAGCGCATGGAAATGCAGTTTACCTTCCCGCCGGAGTGGTACCTATTTATCTACTTGCACTTTGACGTGCTTTCGAACTGCTAGGTTGGCAGGAGCAGGGACCGAGCAACGGGAGCTCACCCCGTCGCGGGGATTTGAACCGCCGACCTTCTGATTGGCAAGTTCTAGGCTCTGTGGTTTAACCCACAGTGGCACCCGCGTCTCTATGTTAAAACCATATTAACTGTGCTTTATCAAATGTTTCCAATTGGATACTTCAGCGCAGATATGAAATTAATATGGCCCACTTTTAGATGTTTTGTTTCTTAAATATAAGCCAAATAAGTCAGATCTCAATCAATTTAGAGAATTTATTTCAGGAAAACAGTAGTGAGTGACATCTGCTGGCCCTCCGACTTAATTTTTACCATATATTCCTCTGTTCAGTTTCATTTGGACTTAAATACAAGTTCATATTCTTTTGGGTTATTCAGGCATGGCATTTACCAGCCTCTGTAATAGGTACACCACACAGAATAAAAGAACAGCTGGATTCCTTCAATCATGTTTTCAAATTATCCAATCCATTTTAGAAGCAGGTCATCTGGTCATCTTCTACCTTGCCAAGTGACCAACCATCAAGGCAGAAGCTTGTGAAAGCCTATTTGGCTCAAAGGTGGGATAGTTGAATGCGGAAGAGACTATAGTGCACACACACTTTGCCCACCTAGCTTCCCAAGAAGAAATGTAGTCAGAAAGGTACAAGCTGTACAAGGGAGCCAGTGTGGTGTAGTGATTAAGAGCGGCGGACTCGTAATCTGGGGAACCAGGTTTGCGTCTCCGCTCCTCCACATGCAGCTGCTGGGTGACCTTGGGCCAGTCACACTTCTCTGAAGTCTCTCAGCCCCACTCACCTCACAGAGTGTTTGTTGTGGGGGAGGAAGGGAAAGGAGAATGTTAGCTGCTTTGAGACTCCTTCGGGTAGTGATAATGCGGGATATCAAATCCAAGGGAATCAAGAATTTACACGAGGCTTAGTCAGAAGCACCATGACTTACGTTCTCCGCACTGCAGAATCTCAGTCTTCAGCTGTTCTATGTCACAGGAAAAGCGGGCAGATCTTCCCAATTCTTCATCATATTTACGCTCGCTTACAAAGTGCTGCAAGGTAGGGGGGGGATGACAAGTTATAAACTGCACCAGGTAATAAAGGAGATGTGAAAGAAGCCTGCCCAATACAAAATAATTTTAAAGCCTCATCTGCTGAATCTCGAGCCTTTTGTAGAGCAGAACACTCCAGTCTTAAAGCATCGGGGTACATTTTAGGCTTTGTGAAATGTCCCCACACCTATTGATGCACCGCAAAAAGAACAACACCCTTCCATCTCATGATCTGGGAAATGCTTGTCAGTTGTTAAAAGAAAAAAGTGGATTGAAGGCAGGGCCAGATTTAGGTTTGATGAGGCCCTAAGCTACTGAAGGGGGACGCGGGTGGCGCTGTGGGTTAAACCGCAGAGCCTAGGACTTGCCGATCAGAAGGTCGGCGGTTCGAATCCCCGCGACGGGGTGAGCTCCTGTTGTTCGGTCCCAGCTCCTGCCCACCTAGCCGTTCGAAAGCACGCCAGTGCAAGTAGAAAAATAGGTACCGCTCCGGCGGGAAGGTAAACGGCGTTTCTGTGCGCTGCTCTGATTTTGCCAGAAGCGGCTTATTCATGCTGCCCACATGACCCGGAAGCTGTACGCCAGCTCCCTCGGCCAATAAAGCGAGATGAGCGCCGCAACCCCAGAGTCGGCCATGATTGGATCTAATGGTCAGGGGTCCCTTTACCTTTAAGCTACTGAAGGTAATAGGGCCCTTTATATGTGATATTTTAGGGAGCAAGTGAGCAGGTGCGGCCCATTACTTACATCATAGGAGCATACACAGCACAAAACACTGTTGCTGCATGTAGGTTTTATTTTATTTGTTTTTTATCTTATATTTTGGAAATGTGCATTCAGGTTTTGGTTACTTTAAATACTTTGGGAGCCCCCAAGAGAGTGGGGCCCTAAGCTATAGCTTGTTTAGCTTATACGTAAATCCGGCACTGATTGAAGGATGATCCTGTGCTCTAGCGCAGAGGAGGCTGAGCACAAGCCTTAAAAAAAATCCAAAACTTTTGCAACACTGGGAGGGAAACTATGAATGGCGTTTTTTGTTGTTGCTCAACACTAATGTATTCACAAGCAATGTCCAACGCCTTTGACGGTCCTGCAATCCCACCCCACATGCCTTGTTTTGATTAGCACTCCATGCTCATACACACATCAAAATGTGTGCATCTCTCTATATCTATATCCATATCCACATCCACATACACATACATTTCAATAGCCAGCATAATAACAATGCTAATTCCAATAGGTAATCTGTAGACAGCAGCATAGGGACGCGGGTGGCGCTGTGGGTTAAACCACAGAGCCTAGGACTTGCCGATCAGAAGGTCAGCGGTTCAAATCCCCGCAACGGGGTGAGCTCCCGTTGCTCGGTCCCTGCTCCTGCCAACCTAGCAGTTCAAAAGCACGTCAAAGTGCAAGTAGATAAACAGGTATCGCTCCGGCGGAAAGGTAAACGGCATTTCCGTGCACTGCTCTGGTTTGCCAGAAGCGGCTTAGTCATGCTGGCCACATGACCCGGAAGCTGTACGCCGGCTCCCTCGGCCAATAAAGCGAGATGAGCGCCACAACGCCAGAGTCGGTCACGACTGGACCTAATGGTCAGGGGTCCCTTTACCTAAACAGCAGCAAAATGCATAATTGGGGACAGATACATAATTGGGGACAGAGGCATAATCGAGGTAGGGAATAAAACAAAATGTTAAGAACTGCAGCAGAGTTACTGCAGTACATGCATGGTTCAGGGAATATTTCTCTAAGGGCAAAACACCAGAAGGAAGAGTTTAAATCTTGTTTTTACCATCTCTGGGTTCAATAGAGACCAACCTTTTAATTTCATGACATTAAGTGAAATTCATGGATGCTTTAGCTGAGTTCCCTGCATTGCAGGGGGTTGGATTTGACTCTTGGGAAGTCTACGATTCTATGACCTACCTAGCAAGTCAAATCTGTACTTTGTTTTGAAAAAAAACACACCAACCCTGTATTTGAGGAATGAATTATTGTGTGTCTGGTTCGTACGCTACAGGAAAGGAGGCACGGACGACCTCAAAAGAAATGGCCACACAGACTAACCTTAATTTCAGCCCTCAGTTCAGCCAACTGAGACTCTGCCATTTGGCTAGCCAAATCTGTTAACCTCTTCAATTCTTCAGCTTTTTTCTGACGAGCGGTTAAGATTTCCACTGCCAAACAAGAAGGTGGTAATAATAATAATAATAATAATAATAATAATAATAATAATAATAATTTTTATTTATATCCCGCCCTCCCCAGCCGAAGCCGGGCTCAGGGAGGCTAACAACAATAAAATAGTACAACATTCTAAAATCATTTCATTATAAAATTAATTCAAATCAAATTGATGGCAACCATCAGGCTAAAGTTCTGTGAAGATTGCCAAAGGAGGGAGTCAGACTGTGCCCTGGCCAAAGGCCTGGTGGAACAGCTCTGTCTTGCAGGCCCTGCAGAAAGATGTCAAGTCCCGCAGGGCCCTAGTCTCTTGTGATAGAGCGTTCCACCAGATCGGAGCCACAGCCGAAAAAGCCCTGGCTCTAGTTGAGGCCAGCCTAACTTCTCTGTGGCCTGGGACCTTCAGGATGTTTTTGTTTGAAGACCGTAAGGTCCTCCGTGGGACATACCGGGAGAGGCGGTCCCGTAGGTACAAGGGTCCTAGGCCATATAGTGCTTTAAAGGTTAAAACCAGCACCTTAAATGCCAACAAAAGTTTAATGTGCATTTAATGTCAGAACAGGAATTGTACTTTGCCTGCAGGCCAGATCCACAATCTCTGCACCCTTCCCAGGCCAACCTTTGACAGGTTGGTGGGAGTGCCCACTTCTCGGCCACTTGCTTTCCTTGTGGCACCGGCTGCACCTGGCAGTTCTTGAAAAAGCTCTCCTGGAGGCAACAACACTCTCAGGGAAAACCTGAGATGTGGTGTGAGCAAGGTTGCCCAAATCCACTTGTGTGAGACTGGGTGCAATCTTACGCAAAGAGGTGTGCAAGACAACCCTGGCTTTGAACACTACAAATCCCACTGTGACCCCAGCCCTCTCTGCCCATGCCTTTGGCTTGTGAGAATTCACCCAATTCCATTAAAGCCTACTTCCATAGTTAGAAGCTTGCTTTTTTGGAGAGGGGGTGGTTAACATTTCAAACCTTACTCTCAACCCAATAACCATGCGTAGCCTTATGATGGTTGAATGCACAGCAACCCTCATTACTCTTAAAAGTGCAATTTCAGGCCAGAACATCCGGCACAAAACCTAGGTGCGATTCTATCTCCAAAAACTTTATGTGGTGAAACACACAATGCTGCTTCTGAACAGATGAATGATTGCTTTTCTTTATGCAAAAGCAGCTATAAACACCCCTTCCCAATTGTTTCAAAGCATACAACATTCCCCATTTACTTTCATCTTTACTTACTGGCTTCCTCTTTAACTTTGTCAACTTCTGCCATTAAAGAGACTTCTTTGTCTATGATACTGAAAATTAAAAACATGAGATTCAAAATAATTATATTCTTTCGAAGGACATACGGACAGTACCTTGGCAGTTTGGGCACATATTATAAGCAATTTCTGGGAAGATATAAAGCATGGGCAAATTTCTGAGTGCCGCGATAGTAATTCATCATATGTCGCTACTTTATTAAATTCAAGCCTGTGCAATTTATCTTAAGAGAATTACTTGGCTGTTACCAACAGAACACAGTGATTACAAATGCCACAATTTGGCTAGTGGTGATGGTATTTTGCCCCACGTTTCCCATGCAAGTCCTCCATATATCAACTCAGAAGCAAGCATCGCTGAACACACAGGAAAGTGTGCCCAGAACTGCAGCCTTACAGAGCAAGTTACAGTCACATCATGCCAGGACTGGTTATATTTTGCTGCTACGGCTGCTGTAACCAATGTGTGGTTAGCTCAGAGGGAGGCGATACTGATATGGACTGGTGTGTGTGTGTTTCTGCATTAAACCTTGAGAATCATTCCGTCTAAAGGAGGGATATAAATCATCATAAACATGGACTATGCGCACCCCATAGTCACCTTTGACTGGACTTAACCACCCAGGGGTCCTTTACCTTTATCTTTACCTGTCAATCTTAAACCAGCTTCTTCACCTAATAAATATTTTAAGAATGCCTAAATGTCACAAAAGGGCACATCACAAAAGGAGGTGTTCCGAGTAGGTGTAGGAAACAGTCTCATTAAACATAGCGCAGCCCCCAATGTTAAGTTGTGGGTGAACATATCAGACAACATAGCGATTCTCCAAACAGCTCTTGTTTATTCACAGGTCAGAACAGAACTAAACTGAAGGGTTCAGCCAGCCTGCTTATATAGAGCTCCAGTACAACGTAACTGTAACAACTTTCTGTAACTATCCAATCACTGAACGTCACTTTCGATCCCTTATTTGCATATGTGAATCTGAACTATCTACAGTATCCCGCTGCTGGCCCAGGGTGAGAACTTCACTACATAACACCCAGTGCATTTTGACAAAAGATGTTCCTCGTGGGCAGAATCTTAGAATTCTTGTCTTGTAAAGGAGCAACAGATTTGAGCTCCTGCAGTGCTTTCATGTCTTGGTAGTTGAATAATGTTTCTATGCATGGGGCCCTACAACCGCAATGTGGAATGTGCAATATGGAGCGGCCTATCCAGACAATAAGGCAGTTCATTCTACCCTATATACGCGTCTGCTTCTGTCCTCCTATTTCAGCAAATCCGTTCTGTTCCCACACCCCTTTGCTTTTTTGAGAATCTGCAACATTTGGGGTTACACAGAGCCTGCCAATACCTCTCCCTTCTGTGTGGGTGGTGCAATTTTGCTGCCTAGCCCACCCCCCGGTTCTGCAAGCACGACACAAATTAGCATTAGTGCATATTATTTCCTGCACCTATTGGGGAAATCGTTTTTTGTGGTCTGGATTTGATTTAGCAATTCTGATTCGGGCGCAGCTGAGATGCAATCTCCAGCAGATGGCACCCTATGCATAGGTTCTCTAGGTGCTGCTGCTCAGAATGTTGGTCCAGTATCAGGAAGGAACATCTGTAAAAAACGAAGAGGTCTGGCAGCTGGGACAGCGCCAAGCGCCCCCCCCCCATGTTACTTGCCCATGACGGATCCCAGTGACCCAGTTACAAACACCCCCATCTTCCTTCTGCGTGGTATGAGATGATATTACTGCAAAACCATTACAGTACTGGGCAGCTATTGTCTCTCCCTCCCTCCACTCCCCAATTCCTATTTAATATATTTTTAAAGGGTTTGACTTGGAACTCAGTGGCAATTTCTCCTAGCTCTTCAGCTTGAGTCTGTGTGTGTGTGTGTGTGTGTGTGTAGGGGATTTTAGGGAACTGTTATGAGGAGGAGCAGTTTTTTCTTATAACAGGAACAATGTGGTACAGTGCAATACAGTGTTAACATCATGCGTTGTGGTGGGGTATGTTTGCTCATACGGAGCCATGGGAGACCAGCCTGGGCTCAGATAGCAGCTCTTGGGGTTTGGTATGCGTTTACAGGGAACCGGGGATCAGATGGGCTGAATGAGTGGTCCCTCCCTACTTAAGAGAAAGCACATTTCTTAATCGGTCAGTCTCCTCCTTCCACTGCTGTGCAGGTACCTTCGGGAGAAGAAGAGGCTAAAGAGTAAATTCTACACAAATTTGGAGTGCAGTCTCTAAGACGGATAGATGGCACCTTGTAGCCTCCGTCTGGCAACTCCTGCAGCCAAGCTGGTGCCAAACGTATTGCTCTGCTTTCCTTTGGGCCACATCAGTGAGGCTGAGAGGGAGGTCTTGTTGTCTGGTTAGCCCAGGACCTCCAAATACACTGTTCAGGCTTGCGCCCCTGGAGGGGGTCACTTCGATGCTGTTAATGCAGCGGTTTGACTTTACCCCTGGAGGCACACTCCATGGTCTCTTGAGACAGACGGATGCCAACAACAACAACCAACAACCACAAGGCTTTTACAGTGACCGATAACTATTCTCACATTTTTGTGGGGTAAAATAATACCAGTGTTTAGTAGTGGGTAAAGTTTGGAAGCACTTTCACCAAATCTGATATGTACTGAAGTTCTCACCCTGGACCAGCAGGGGGATACTGTAGATAGTTTTCACTCAGGTCCACATATGCAAATAAGGGATTGAAAGTGACGTTCAGTGATTGGATAGTTACAGAAAGTTGTTACTGTTGCGTTCTAGTGGAGCTCTATATAAGCAGGCTGGCTGAACCCTTCAGTTCAGTTCTGTTCTGGCCTGTGAATAAACAAGAGCTGTTTGAAGAATCGCAGTGTCGTCTGATATGTTCACCCACAACTTAACAAAATCAATCGGAACTTTCTACCCAAGCATCAAGCTGGTTGTTGGATTTGGGAGGGTGGGGTGGGAATGTTTGCTGGTGAGGAGGATGATTTTGCAAGTTTGCAGCATGGGCTCGCCGTGAGTAGCACTGACCTGTTTGCACCCATGAAATCGCCTAAATGCTCAGTCTCCGGATCAGTTCTGCAACCGTGTTTAAATGCTGCTGTTTATTTATTTATTAAAAAGATAAAGGATGAACACATCAGCAGACAGAGGTACATGTGGCACAACTGGGGGCAAAAATTAGGGCAGAAGGAAAAGGGAAATGGTGAGAAGGGACAGGACTGATGACGGAATCCGTGATGTGTGTGTCTGTCACACGCATTGCAATGTCAGGAAAAATCTGCTGTGAATTCTCTTTAGATATGTGTCTCTGCCTTTGCCCTGATTTACTTCTCACAGGCAAAGTTACAGGGTCCTTTGAAGTAAGAGACAGCACTGTGAAATCTGAAGTGTATGCTGAGTGCTTGCCGAATGGCAAATTAAGCAGCCAATGCATGTTTGGGAAGGTCTCTAAAGATAGCATGAAATCATCTCAGAGAAGATCCAGGTTTTGTGTGGCGATTGCTAATTCGGGCTGGCTTCTTGCTGTTTCCAAAAGGCCAAAAAAATGTCTCTCTCTCCCTCCCCATACTGAGAACTTGGCCCACAGTGTTATTGGAAGTTGGCTGCCTTGAAGGGCTTTAGAGTAAACAACATAAATCGTTTCATTGCTGCTTCAAATACCCCATCTAGTGGGAAATTTTATTAGTGGGAATTCTACATTCTAGAGTTCTGCTGGCTTCTGCACCCACACAAATGAAAACAAACTGTTGTTGTTAAGCAGAGGCTTGACAACCATATGTCAGGAGTGCTCTGATGGTGTTTCCTGCTTGGCAGGGGGTTGGACTCGATGGCCCTTGTGGTCTATTCCAACTCTATGATTCTATGATTCTGAAAGGAAGGAGCATATCCACTTGCACAGATAATCTTTGGAACATCAGCACCACCACGCCATAGTGATTACCATATTTTTCGCTCTATAGGACGCACTTTCCCCCCTCCAAAAATGAAGGGGAAATGTGTGTGCATCCTATGGAGCGAATGCAGGCTCCTTGGCTTCAGCGACAGCAACGCAAAGCCTCCGAAGCACAGAGGGAGAGCTCCCCCCCGCGCTCCGGAGGCTTCGCGTTGCTTTTGCTGAGGCCGCCTGAAGCCCCCGGAGCGCAGGGAACTCCCGCTGCGCTCCGGGGGCTTCAGGCAGCTATCCACAAGCCTTCGGAGCGCAGCAGGAGTTCCTGCCGTGCTCCGAAGGCTTGCGGATAGCCGCCTGAAGCCTGGAGAGCGAGAGGGGTCAGTGCACACCGATCCTTCTTGCTCTCCAGCCTTCGCTTCGCTGGAGAGGCACTGCACAGTTTTCCCTCTCTGTGAAGTGGGAGGAGAAATGGAAGGGGTTCCGTTTCTCCTGCCGCTTCGCTGAAGGGGCGCTGAGCAGAGAGGGAGAGAATTTTTTCCCCTGTTCTCCCCCTCCTATGGTCCGGTGCGTCCTATAGAGCGAAAAATAAGGTATGTAGTACATGAAGGGGGGAGGGAAGACTTCCAGAAATGCTGATAGAAACATCAACAAAAGGCCCACACCCCACATGTAAACTTGTAGGTTAAGGCCAAAGGATCTTTTCACTGCTGCTGCAATGACTGCTACATTTGCATGGAGTTTAGAAAAGGAATTTGGGTAAAGCACTAATAAAAATATTTGTTTATGTTTAGATGAATGCTTAGAACTGGAAATATTTTTTAGGGAACAAGATTATGGTAGTTGATTGTCAAGTGGCATCTCAAACCCTAAATATGGTGAAACTACTTTTGTTCATTTTTTGAGACAAAAAGAGGCCCCTTCAACTGTACGAGCTCTGCATCTCTTCAATGGAATGTGCATAACAAGAGACAAAATAATTACCTGGGTGCTTAATGCAAATATATGCATGATTGCAGATCTAGAAAAGTGATTAGAAGCTTTGTCAAATGACTGACGAATAGAACCACTGCCTGGCTGGGTGGAAACATGTAGGCAGGCTCTCTATTCAGCTAGGACCCCAGGAGGATAGCCATTAAATTACATAATTTTTGCCATGCTCTGGAATACAACACTGTTCCATTATTACCTCAGCTATATCCATTGTGCACAAGATTTGAATAACAAACCAGATTATGCTTCATTCTTATTCTTGATACAAGAATTAAGCTTGCTGGGGGGGTGGGGTGGGGAGAGATTTAAACATGTGATATAATATAAAGCAACTGGGCCAAAGTCCAAGAGTAAGCTCTGTAGGATATAGTTAAAATACCTGAACACACTGTAACAAAAAACTCTATTCTGTAATAAAAATAATTGGACCCAACATTTTGCAAAGTGGGTTTATTCACCCTAACCTTTGCAACTGCTGGCCAAACACATACTGAACACTTTTGTTTTGCAGGATCATAGCCTGGACGCATGAAGGAAAGCAGGCTGCCTACACAGAGCTCTCCCCAAGCTCTCTGAACTTTGGGAAGATTTAGTTTAATGTTCTAAGCCTGCAGCATACAAAAGGGTATTCACCCATCTTTGGTTGTTTATCCAGAGTAGATGTCTGGAAAATGTCTGGAAAAAACTCAGAGGCCAGCATTCAGAGGGCTAGAAATCAAATTCTGCAAAAGATGCTGCTACCTAGAAGCAGGGACGCGGGTGGAGCTGAGGGTTAAACCACAGAGCCTAGGGCTTGCCAGTCAGAAGGTCAGCGGTTCGAATCCCGGCGATGGGGTGAGCTCCCGTTGCTCGGTCCCTGCTCCTGCCAACCTAGCAGTTCGAAAGCACATCAAAGTGCAAGTAGATAAATAGGTACCGCTCCGGCGGGAAGGTAAATGGCGTTTCTGTGCGCTGCTCTGGTTCGCCAGAAGCGGCTTAGTCATGCTGGCCACATGACCCGGAAGCTGTACGCCGGCTCCCTTGGCCAATAAAGCAAGGTGAGCGCCGCAACCCCAGAGTCATCCGCGACTGGACCTAATGGTCAGGGGTCCCCTTTACCCTTTACGTAGAAGCAGAGGGTGGGGTGTGAGGTAGCAAAGATTGCAGCTGTGTGCTGTAGAAGCTGACTTGAACTCATAATTATTTTCTTACAGACCTGACTTCTCAACTGCAGACCTCTGCCCTATCAGAAACAGCAAGAAGTGTCTCAAGAGGCCCAATCAGGCTTGAAGAATTTCCCTTGTATGTTTGTTTGTTGCAAAGTTTGTTGATGGCCCAGTTAGTCTTCGCTCTGACACTATGTGGTGTTAATATAGACAGAGCCTGAACACAATGTTGGACTGAAAGCAAACATTAGCCACCCCATTTTCCTTACCCAGCAGAACTAAGCTGTTCTGGTGTTTATACAGCTAATACCACACCCCTCGCCTCTTGTATGTAAGTAAAATAATTCTATCAGTGCTGACTTTGGCTTTCCACCCACTTCCTGCTTTTTATTGCTCGTGGATTCATTCTATATATGTTTTCTTAGGACTGATAATAACGTCTGGAATTACTCCTCTCTCTGCCTCCCTCCCGCACCCACTGTGTTACTCTGGAACCAATTTCTTGAAAGCATCTGGTGAAGCTCTGAAAGTACTATCTTCACATTTCCAAATATTTAAATACACTGAACTTAATGCTTGGCCTAAGCCATTTGGCGCATGGGAACGTTTGAGAGGCAAAAGGAGGCGAGCTGTTTCTCCAGTCAGCTCCGCACATAACACAATGACATCTAGGTAATTTCTTTCCCACAGTTTGCTTTGCGATGGTGGCAAACGACAGACCAAATGGTCCTAGGAATAGATGTTTGCTTTTCATCGGTAGCAAAGCAGTAATTTGGGGCGGAACTGTCTTCCTGATTCCTGTGTTGCTGCGGCTTACCTGAAAGGTACTGGGCAGGTGAGCTCAGGGCTGTGCTGATGCACTCATGCGAGTGCACGTTTAACTCAGAAACTAAGCCCTTCTGTGTCCAATGGGACCACTCCAGATCATGCAATGGATCTCTTGGATCCCCTGCTCTCCCCACAGGGGTGATGTCTTCTTCCCACTGCAGCCCTGTTGTGCCACACAAACCATTGCGGGGATTCGAACCGCCAACCTTCTGATCAGCAAGTCCTAGGCTCTGTGGTTTAACCCACAGCGCCACCCGCGTCCCACATGTACTGTATGCTAAAAGGACAGGAAGAGCATCATTTGTTGATTAGGTGACTATTTGGAGCAGGGAAGAGGAGGGAGGCAGCAGTGGGAATCTGCCCATTCAGAATCAGTGTCCTCCTATCAGGAGCATGGTGAGAATTAGAAAGTCAGGCATAGATAGAACACTTCCTGTTGGAGCTGCTATCATTGGCCTTGTGCCCGCTGCTGCTAAAGATGAAACTAGATAGCAGGCTGTTGTGTGTGTGTGTGTTTCTTCGCCTGGAACATTTCTATAATCAAAAGCAGCTGCAGGAGTCTGCAACCTTGTAAAAATGGCTGGAGTGAGAAAGGGTTCAGCAGCTCCCATTCTCTGTACGTACTGCTTTGCTAAAAAAACCCTGCAGCCCCCCCCAACTGCTCTTGATCTCTCTCAAGAGAAGCATCATCATCATTAATCTCATTTGCTAGTTGTTTTATACAAAAATAAATAAATCTGAAAGCAACTGAACAAGCTGAAATACAGATAAACTAAATTAAAAGTCATGTATGATACAAATAGGGATGCGGGTGGCACTGTGGGTTAAACCACAGAGCCTAGGACTTGCCGATCAGAAGGTCGGCGGTTTGAATCCCGGCGATGGGGTGAGCTCCCGTTGCTTGGTCCCTGCTCCTGCCAACCTAGCAGTTCGAAAGCACGTCATGTGCAAGTAGATAAATAGGTACCGCTCCGGCGGGAAGGTAAACGGTGTTTCCGTGCGCTGCTCTGGTTCGCCAGAAGCGGCTTAGTCATGCTGGCCACATGACCCGGAAGCTGTACGCTGGCTCCCTCGGCCAATAAAGCAAGATGAGCGCCGCAGCCCCAGAGTCGGTCACGACTGGACCTAATGGTCAGGGGTCCCTTTACCTTTACCTATGATACAAATTACGCAAGCATGTGTGTCAGGTGTAGTTTCAGCCTCAAAATACTTGTGAAACTTGGGATATTATTACCCACCCTGTGACCTGTTGGTGAAATGCAAGCAAGAAATTATTAATTATAATCCCTTTTATTCTAGTGATGAAATTGGCCCACCACCCACAATGCAGTACTGTAGCTACGTGGGGTGGGGGGCTAGCCAGGTTTTTTGCCCCGGGGGAAACCTCCATTGGGGTGCCAATGAGGCTCCCAGCCTGTGTGTGTTTGTATGCAAATGTGGGGGTGCGTGCCAAACTGGGTCTTTGACCTGAGTGAAATAAAGACTAGTTTTGCCCCTGCACAATGGCAAGGGGTAAGGTTCAGAAGAAAAAATTTTTGTGCATCAGGTTAGACAGGACAGTCGAAGTTACATGTTTATAAAACAGAACTATCCTAGTTACATAGAAAGAATGGGCGCGATCTGATTTTGGCAGCAATAGGGGAAAAGAGGCAGAATCATTTTCCCACCCCCCTATGTGGTTTATCTCCCCAAATGTTTTCACAGCTTCATTAACTATGAACCCCATAATCTGGGGCCAACTCCAAATCTGCGCCAAAAATTTGCATTGTACATCTGCTTTGTTGCAAAACTTTGGTACAGGTTTGGATGGGATCCCAATTTTGTTTTGTTGTCGCTGTGCTACAGGAAAACATTTCAGAAATAACAAGAACAAAATTTATATTGACAGAGCTGTCTTTCCCCCAATGTGGCATGAAAAATAACTAAGCGGCATTCACCTGCTTAGGTAAAATCTTGGTTAATAGGTCCTTGCAATTCTTACCTCTGAGACCAGCAACCAAAGAACATAAAATGTGCCAAGGTCTCAAGTGCTCTTATTTTCTTTGTGGAGTAAGTCCAGTGAGACTGGAATGGTCCTCTAACGGAATGGACTTCTGAAATATCTCACCTGATTTCCTTGTCCCTCACCTACTTACCAGCTATGTAGTTCTGCAAAGGCGGCTTTAATCTTCTTCACAGAATTATCCACCTCCTCTTTAATCATCATGCGGTATCTTGTCAGAGAAACAGTGCACCGCTGAAGATCTTTTACAGATTTTTCAATGTTCGGACCTGTAACAGCAAACAAACGTCAGCTATCCTTCTGCTGTCAAATTTAATCTGGAAGTAAGAAAAATTTCACTAAGCAGCAGCAGATGTGTTGGACTGCAATTCGACGTAGCGCCAACGAGCGCTTTGTGCAAGCAGGACAACACCCGCTTGTAAAGAAACCGTCATTTGCAAAATGGCAATTCTATTATGAAATAGACAGGGCTTCCCTGCTGCACACAGTGATCCTGCAACTTGTGGAGGAGGATAGAAGAAGGCAGAGATAGAGAACTCTCTCTCACCCTCATATTATGCCATACTGGCCTGATTATCACTGAGGTGTTCCCAAAGTAAACGAAGGAATGAACTCTGATTAATAAGAATACACACAGAGGCTTGAACCAGCAAGACTCTGGGAAGTGTGCGTATAATAGTCTCTCTCTGTCTCTACCCCTCGGCCCAGGTTGTTTTATTCACAAAAGAACTTTTTACAGAGTGTTCGTAAGAACCAATCAGATTTCTTCTGAGCATTTCAAGAAACCCACGTGGGGACAAAGTTAAACTACCAAAACTAATTAAACACGGGGTAAACAAAGAACAGAACTACAAAGGAGTTCATTTGGCAACCCCTGAGGTGAAAAACAAGCAATATACATGATAAGAAGGATGGCCAGGGGGACAGCGATCATTATCACCTTCATGTGAGATCTGTTTCCTGCCCCTAAGATTAACATCCTAAGATTAACATATCAGAAAAGATACATCAAAGAAACTTGCCCACTATCTTTATGGCCCAGGGCAACTGGCACTGTACGTGCCTGGTCGAGAAATGGAACATGGAACAGGGATGCAGAGGTGTGGATTGATCAAGAATCATATCAAAATAGTTTAAACCCTGTCAACGCAATGCTTTCATTGCTGACACAGATGGCTTACTCTATATTTGTTACAATTCCTATATTTGTTGCAATCCCACCTGATCACTACATATCACATCACTTTAAACCACAGCCAAACGAAGCTATAGTTTCATATGTGTGCACCAGCATGCTGCTGAAATCACAGGTGCTTTGCGCCTTCTCATCTCCCGCTGAGCTGCTGCAAGCGAAACCATGGTTTGGCCTAATACTACATCAGAACATGGACTCATGGGTTCCCCTACCACTCCAAACAGCCATGAGCGGTAAGCAAAGAACAAACCTTGCTTGCATCTCACAGTTTATTTGCACTTGATACGTTCCATGAAATACCAGAGTGATAATGCAAAACAGAGTTCGTTGCATACATTTTTGTCTGAGCCGTGAAAATGGTGGTCTTCATGGATAAAGAGGCGGAATGAAGTTGGAATTGGTTAATCACTGAGGACACTTGGGCTGCCTTAAGGAAGGTCTGGGGAACTTGTGGCTCTCTAGTTCTCGCTGGACCCCAAATCTCATTACACCCAGTCAGCAGCCTCAACTGTCCCGATTTAAGTGGAACATCCCGTTTGGGGGGGGGGTTGTGCTCTTGTGTGAGTCACCTGGCTCCCATGAGCTCACAGCCCTGAAAGACGCATGTGCTCACGCAGGAGCAGCGGCGGAGCACGTTGTCATGGCGCCCCGGGAGCACATGGGTGCATACCAGGAGGGTGAATGAAGCCCGCTGCACACCAACCCAGCCCTTGTCGCCACTTGAGCAACAGCATCCCTGAGCCACTTTGCAAGGCTGGAATGGTCTGATCAGATTCTAGCCTCGCAAGCGGCGCAGGGCTGACTTGGGGAGGGTGGAGTTAGCAGTGCCTTCCCCCCCCCAAATGTGCCCAGGGTGATCGTCCTGGCAGCCTCCCAATGCTACACCCCTGCGCAGGAACACGGCCCCAAACAACATGCGTCCCAGTTTTACCCTGGGGCATGTTGGAGTGCATGTCAGCATGTCCAGGGATCAGGATGTTTTGAGATGTAGTCTAGGTGTTATGTACTGAAGTTCTCACCCTGGGCCAGCAGGGGGATACTGTAGATAGTTATGCAAATAAGGGATCGAAAGTGATGTTCAGTGATTGGATAGTTTTAGAAAATGGTTACAGTTACGTTGTACTGGAGCTCTATATAAGCAGACTGGCTGAACCCTTCAGTTCAGTTCTGTCCTGGCCTGTGAATAAACAAGAGCTGTTGAAGAATCGCTGTGTCGTCTGATATGTTCACCCACAATTTAACACTAACCACATCTGGAGGGCCAGAGGTTCCCCACTCCTACTTTACAGAGAAGACAAAAACAGCATTGACATACGATGCTTCTTTTAAAGATTACTAAATGGCTACACAGAATTTTTGGTAAGGTTAATAAAAGCTTTGGAAGTAAGAAAAAAAATGCACCGGGTTGCACTTCAGAGCAAACAAATCTCTTGTACCTCTTTTCTTGACTGAATCCTCTGGTTTTATTTCAAGATGGGCTGTGGGGACAGACGGCTTAACCACGGATGTCTTTGCCTTCAGCCTACCAACACTGCACTGAGATGGGTGGGAGGACTGGAAAGGATCAGGCAGCGGTACGCTATTTGCATATTTTCTTCCTGCTTCTATAGGTATGGTTTTTTGGTCTGCCTTTTGGTCTGCAAAAACCCAAAAACAACAAGTTGGAAGATCAATGGCGGAGTTTCTTGTATCGGTTCATGTGAGAAATCAGAGGCTCTTTCTCGTGGGGGAAAAATTCCAAAGGTACAGAGGAGAGGAATTATAAAAGGGTGCACCTCCACAGGCACATACCTCCACATGTGGTGGGAGTGTCCCAAAATCCAACTATTCTGGACAACAGCCATACAAGAAATATGTACAATAACTAAGCAAGTAATAGACATCACCCCAGAATTGGCCCTACTAAACATCTTCCAAGACAACAATGCCCATTTACACCACAAAGAACTCATAACCCACCTGCTTTCAGCAGCCAGAAATACCATAACCAGACACTGGAGAGACCTGTCAGGAGTAAGCATGGACCAATGGTACCAAATAGTATGGGAAACAGCCCTACTAGAAAAATTAACTAATAAACTGAAACTGACACGGGGACAAACAGAAGAAGACACCTTCACCCCGGTATGGCTCCCCTTTATCACACACACAGCCCAACAGGACAATGACAATAATCCACCAACAGCATACAAATCAATATGGCTAACCTGATCCAAAACACCCACCCACCTCACTCACACACGAAAACAAAGATCACCACAGCCAACCGCAAACAAACAACCACACCCTAGGCCAACCCCAACCTCTCTCACCACCAAAGGAACACAAGTGAACAGCACAAGCAACGCTGACACCAAACTCTACATACATTAAACATAATAGAAACACCGCCACCCGACCCCACCCCCACCCATCTTCCCTCTCTCCACCCCCCCTTTCTTTTTTCTTTCTTTTTTTCCTTCTCCCCCTAATGCCTCAACAAATGAAACGGATTTGTAAAAATGTTACATGAAAAAAAAAATACGAGGCACTACACTTCTGTAAAACAAGAAAATCCTGAATAAAATATTTATATATAAAAAAAGGTCCATGATTGGAAATGTCATCCTCCTGCTTACTGTTCCCATACTCTCTTACAACTTCTGGTGTTGGGGTCACCAACCCAGCGCCCCCGGGGCCACATGATGCCCATAAAGACTTTTACTGGGCAGGTGCCTCAGAGTTTGAGCTTTTGTTCAAAGTAAGCAAGTCTCTAGTCCTCCTAGATTCAAGTTATGGGGGAAATGGTGCAGATTCTAAGTAATTTCTGTGAAATCAGAGGCAGTGCGGTGTGATCACCTTGTATGTTTTCCCTCTCTGCTATTAGACAGCAACAGTGTGTGTGTGTACAGTGGTATCTTGGTTTATGAACTTAATCCATTCCTGAAGTCCGTTCTTAAACCAAAACTGTTCTTAAACCGAGGCTCGCTTTCCCTAATGAGGCCTCCCACTGCCGGTGACCTTCCACCATTCGGATTCCGTTCTTAGACCGAGGTAAAGTTCTCAAACCGGGACACTATTTCCACTTTTGCGGAGTTTGTAAACTGAATCGTTCTTAAACCAAGGTAAGGTAAAGGTAAAGGGACCCCTGACCATTAGGTCCAGTCATGGCCGACTCTGGGGTTGCGGCGCTCATCTCGCTTTATTGGCCAAGGGAGCCGGCGTACAGCTTCAGGGTCATGTGGCCAGCATGACTAAGCCGCTCCTGGCGAACCAGAGCAGCGCACGGAAATGCCGTTTACCTTCCCACCGGAGTGGTACCTATTTATCTACTTGCACTTTGACGTGCTTTCGAACTGGCAGGTTGGCAGGAGCTGGGACCGAGCAACGGGAGCTCACCCCATCGCGGGGATTCGAACCGCCGACCTTCTGATCAGCAAGTCCTAGGCTCTGTGGTTTAACCCACAGCGCCACCCGCGTCCCTTAAACCGAGGTACCACTGTACAATCAATATTGTGTGATATCCACAGTCAGGAGCAGCAGGACATAGCTGACTTCCCATGGTGAGCATAAGGTTGCCAGGCACTGCAGCTTATCCAATTTTGTGTTATGCCATCTTCCCCATTGCAGCCATGTTATGTTGTGCCACACACACCCCAGCACTTATTTTGTGCCTGGGATCTCCAGCACTCTCTCAAAATCCCAAGAAGTTTGGCAATCCCTGTTCTAGTGAGATGTATCTCATCATGACAGAATATCACCATGAGCTTTCAAACATCTCCCTACGTCAGTCAACGATGCTGAATGGAGGTGGCCTGTTGGCATGATAGGATGCACCAAGAATCATTAGAACCAGATACAGGAAGAGGCCACTTTTCGACAGCAGGGGTGTCTAAGGTTTCCAAGGCAGTTTTTCCTGTTTTCACGACATTTCCCTGTTAGTTTCCCTCTTACTGTTCACATTGAGCTTTCATATGATGTACAAGGCACTTCTGGAAATATAGTGCATATTTAGTGATCATTTCCATGTTATTTGCAAACAGAACTTTCCAGTTTGCAAAGAAAAGGGGTGCTAAACTTGAGCAATAGTCTACTATATTGGAAGATCATTCAAACATAATGCATAAGTTAACTGTTAGAAAAGCACTGGTAAAACAGAATAAACTGCTGTGTGAATGCACCCTAAATTCCTCCCTGACACATTGTGTAGTTTCCATTTGTTTAATTCTTGGCATTTAGAATGTGCTTTCAAATGTTCAAAGTGCTCCACGTACTTTACCTTGTTGTAATGTTTGTTTTATATATATATATAATCTAAAAAATTGAAATTGCAATTTTAAATTTTAGTAAGCTGTTCTGAGTCGTGCTTTAGGAATGAGGAGGAGTGGGGTATGTTTTAATAAATACATGAAATAAACGAACCACCTTGAAAAGTAGATCAAGGAACCCTGTAAGGTAGATCAAATTAACTTTATTAGGTTAAATCCAACGATTTCTCCCACGATCCTCACAACTTCAAGAGCCTAAGTTAATGCTTTATTATTTTGATATATTTTGCTTTAATTGTGTTTTTGTTTTGTTGTAAAGGCTTCTCAGCAAACTTTGTGACACATGGAAAACTGTGTTCGCTAACAAAACTTAAAACTCGAGGACACCAGAGGTACTGCCTGTTGTTACAAACATCTTAATGAGAAATCAATTGCCGGTGTCTCAAGCACCAGAACAGTACCCTTTAGAATCTCTTTCACACAGAGCTGAAACACTATCTGAGATGTAGCTCTCCAGTCACTGTATTAAGGGCTGAGTGTTTTATCAGGCCTGCTGATAATGGGATGAGCTCAAAGAGTCTACTCTGAATCCCAAGCTGCCACATGCCAAGGACTGGCTGTTTTATCTCGATATTTTCAAACCCCCTAAAGAGGGGGTGGGGGAGCTCACCCTGAAGCTAGAATCCCTTTCTTATTATAAAGCTACTTTGAAAGGTTAGCTAGGAGTTGGGGAAATTGCCAATTGCCTTCATCCCCCTGCCCAGGAGAGGCTGCGTGCGGCTAAGGCTCCCCCAAGAGGCGTGCTCCCTTTAAAGAGCGAGCGGAGTGTGTGTGCGACTCTTGGGGGCTTTTCCCCGAGGAGGGAGAAGGGCAACCCTTCTCCCTCCTCGGGGAAAAGCCCCGAAGAGCCACACACATGCTCCACGCAGCTCTTTAAAGGAGCACTGAGCAGAGCCTCTTGCCTGCATTCGCTCCATAAGACGCACACACATTTCCCCTTACTTTTTAGGAGGGGAAAAGTGCGTCTTATAGAGCGAAAAACACGGTATATCATGAAACCGCTTTGAAAGCTTCCTTGCTGCATTCAGGCAGGATTTTATTACGTAGGGTTTAGCTGTAACACACACAAAAAAATGTTCTGCAAGTCCACAAGGCAGCATTCTGATTTTTTCTTTTTTTAATTTAAGGTAATCATTACTATTATTAATTAAATTTATGTACCTCCCCTTAGCAAAATAGTGGATTAAAATGTAATTAAAGGGGGGGGGGTAACCGCACCAATAAAATATACAATTAAATTAAAACCAATAAACATGTCAGGCAATTGTGCTTGCGATACCACAAGCAACCTCCCCATCTCCCAGTTAGTCTTGCAATTGTTTTGAAAATGTTTCTGCCTGAATAAAAGGAAGGATGAATGCATAAATGAATGTTGCACAAAGTGGTTGCTTTGAAATGTGTTTTAAAACTGCTAGGTTGGCAGGAGCAGGGACCGAGCAACGGGAGCTCACCCTGTCACGGGGATTCGAACCGCCGACCTTCTGATCGGCAAGTCCTAGGCTTTGTGGTTTAACCCACAGCGCCACCCGCGTCCCAGAAAGACATAAGTCAGCCCCAAATTGGAAGCAGCTTTGAAGTCTTCCTTAAGAATCAAGGATGAGTAAAATACTACAAAAGTCCCAGGAGAGGTATGTACTGCCAAAGCGAAGAAATGTCCTCTCTTGATGTTAAGACTGATGTGGGAAGAGAAAAGCTCCACATCTACAGTGGTACCTTGGTTCCCAAACTTAATCCGTTCAGGAAGTCCATTCCAAAACCAAAGCGTTCCAAAACCAAGGTGGGCTTTCACATAGAAAGTAATGCAAAAGGGATTAATCCGTTCCAGACTTTTAAAAAACAACCCCTAAAACAGCAATTGAACATGAATTTTACTATTTAACGAGATCATTGATCCATAAAATGAAAGCAATAAACAATGTGCTGCTGTCACACAATCAATCAATCATTAGCTGAACTGGGTTCCACATAGTCGCAAAAACAAAAACGCAAAATACCGTATTTTTTGCTCTATAAGACTCACTTTTTCCCTCCTAAAAAATAAGGGGAAATGTGTGTGCGTCTTATGGAGCGAATGCAGGCTGCGCAGCTATCCCAGAAGCCAGAACAGCAAGAGGGATTGCTGCTTTCACTGTGCGGCGATCCCTCTTGCTGTTCTGGCTTCTGGGATTCAGAATATTTTTTTTCTTGTTTTCCTCATCCAAAAACTAGGTGCGTCTTGTGGTCTGGTGCGTCGTATAGAGCGAGAAATACGGTAAATAGCAAAACCAGACAGACCTCAGTGTAACACTCAAAATGGAACTGCGGCACTCAAATCGGAAGCGTAAGATTCAAAACAGAGCATGTTCGGCTCCCAAAAAAAGTTCACAAACCGGAACACTTACTTTCGGGTTTGTAGTGTTTGGGTTCCAAGTTGTTTGAGTACCAAGGCGTTTGAGAACCAAGGTACCACTTGTACACACTGCAAACAGCACATCACTCCTGGCAACCATGATAGCTCTCGCCTGCATTTCAGACAGGTTGGAACCCAAGACAGATCAAAGAACAGAGGTGTGGTTTGGATGTGGAGTGCACTGTCTTGCCTCCAGCACAGGTCAGCTTTAAAGGAGGTGGTTGGAGGAGATGCACCTATATTCACAGCCCTAAATGGCCTCGGCCCAGTATACCTGAAGGAGTGTCTCCACCCCCATTGTTCTGCCCGGACGCTGAGGTCCAGCACCGAGGGCCTTCTGGCGGTTCCCTCATTGCGAGAAGCAAAGCTACAGGGAACCAGGCAGAGGGCCTTCTCAGTAGTGGCACCCGCCCTGTGGAACGCCCTCCCATCAGATGTCAAAGGGTTTGAAAATGGTATAGATGCAATCTATTCAGAACAAAAAGCAAAACTGATAGTTAATAATGTGGTGTCAGAAGAGTTTAAAATTGAAAAAGGAACACGACAATCTCTCCATTGCTATTTATTTCGGTCCTGGAGGTGCTCTTGAACATGATTAGGAGGGACCAGTTGATGAAAGGAATTCAGGCCGGAGCTAAACAATATAAACTTAAGGCCTTTGCAGATGACCTGGTTTTGACATTACAGGAGCCAGAATCTAGTACGAAAAGAGTTTTAGAACTGATTCAAGAATTTGGTCAGGTGGCAGGATTTAAATTAAACAAGCAAAAAAACTAAGGTTTTGGAGAAAAATTTGACAATAATGGAAAAAGAAAGGTTTCAGAAGGAGACAGATTTAAATGTGGTGAAGAAAGTGAAATACCTAGGGATAAACATGACGGCCAAAAATCTGAATTTATTTAAAGATAATTATGAAAAATGTTGGTCAGAGGTTAAAAAAGATTTAGAAATTTGGTCAAAATTGAAGCTTTCCTTGTTGGGTCGAATTGCTGTCATAAAGATGAATGTATTGCCAAAAATGTTGTTTTTGTTTCAAACTTTGCAGATTGTGGACAGGATGGACTGTTTCAAGGGGTGGCAGAGGGACATTTCTAAGTTTGTCTGGCAGGGCAAAAAGCCCAGAATAAAATTTAAAATATTGACTGATGCTAAAGAAAGAGGGGGGTTTGCCCTGCCAGACATGAAGTTGTATTATGAATCAGCAGCATTCTGCTGGTTGAAAGACTGGCTACTTCTTGAGAACACTGACAGTTTGGATTTGGAAGGGTTTAACAATGCGTTTGGGTGGCATGCATATCTGTGGTACGACAAGGTCAAAGCTCATAAAGCATTCAAGAACCATATTGTTAGGAAAGCAGTGTTTAATGTCTGGACAAGATATAAAGATTTATTAGAAAACAAGACCCCAAGGTGGCTGTCACCCATGGAAGCTAAGGCTCTGAAAAGACTCAATATGGAGGCCAAGTGGCCGAAATATTGGGAGATATTAGAACAAAACGGAGACACATTGAGATTGCAGAGTTTTGAGAAACTAAAAGATAAAGTGTGAGATTGGCTACATTATTATCAAATTAGAGAGGTTTTTAATATGGATAAAAAAATAGGCTTCCAGGTGGAAAAATCGAAATTAGAAACAGAATTGTTAGAACCTAAAACTAAGGTACTTTCAAGAATGTATAACTTGCTGTTAAAATGGAATACTCAGGATGAAACGGTCAAATCAGCTATGATTAAGTGGGCGCAAGACATTGGTCATAATATTATGTTTGCTGACTGGGAACGGTTATGGACCAATGGTGTGAAATTCATGGCATGTAATGCCTTAAAAGAAAATATTATGAAAATGATATATAGGTGGTACATGACCCCAGTCAAGCTTGCAAAAGTATATCATTTGCCTGATAATAAATGATGGAAATGTAAAGAAACTGAGGGAACATTCTTTCACCTTTGGTGGACGTACCCAAGGGTCAAGGCTTTCTGGGAAATAATCTATAATGAATTGAAAAAGGTATTTAAATATACCTTCCCTAAGAAACCAGAGGCCTTTCTTTTGGGCATTGTCGGCCAAATGGTGTCAAAGAAGGACAGAACTCTCTTTATGTATGCAACAACAGCAGCAAGAATACTCATCGCAAAATACTGGAAGACACAAGATTTGCCCACTCTGGAAGAATGGCAGTTGCAAGTGATAGACTACATGGAATTGGCAGAAATGACTGGCAGAATCCGAGACCTGGGAGAAGAGCTAGTGAAAGAGGACTGGAAGAAATTTAAAGACTACTTGCAAAAACATTGCAAAATGTTTGAATGCTAAAATGATGCAGGATACAAAGATAATATGGCATTAGTGACATAGTTGAAAGGATTATGTAAAAAACGTTTTATAAGAATAAGGGTGAAAAGGCTAGAATAACATTATGTCAAACTTAAACGAAGTGATATAAAGGGAAAAATTGGAGACATAATAGTTGAAATGTATAAATTGAATAAGATTCGAAAGAGGGTAAGGCACTGCTGAACACGATTGTGTAAAAGGGAACACAGAAAAGGGAGATGTGAGGAAGTCAGGAAGGAGGGTTATGAAAACAACAAGTAAGAAATTGGATTTTTATGTTTTTTCTATGTTTTTTCTTCTTCTACCTTTTTATGTTTTCTATTGTATTTTTCTGTTTTTATTGGATTGTGATAATGTTTTTTCTTTTTTTGTTTTGATTGTGAAGTTTGTTTTACTGTTCAAAATTTCAATAAATATCTTAAAAAAAAAAACAGATGTCAAAGAGATAAACAACTACCTGACATTCAGAAGACATCTTAAGGACTTCAGGGAAGTTTTTAATGTGTGACATTTTAGTGTATTTTTGGTCTCTGTGGAAGCCGCCCAGAGTGGATGGGGAAACCCAGCCAGATGGGCGGGGTACAAATAATAAATTATTATTATTATCCAGAAAAAATACAACAATGTGTTCAACAAAATCTTCCTGTTGGTGTGAGAACTTCCATCCTGGGGGGCTGAAAAGGAAGCTGTTTACGCATCTTGCAAAAGCCTCCTGGCGTACAGTGCACTGACCTGCGGTTTCTGGTTTTGCCTCTCCCCTGTCCTTGCCTTCAAAGCTCTTTGGTTCTTGAGGGATTGCTTTCGGTTTTTCACTGGCAGGTTCGCTGGGGGAAATCTCCTTATTACAGCCATTCAGGTGGCAGCCATGTAATCCTTGGGATTCCAGAGACGACAGCTTTTCTCTCCCATCTTCTTTTCCTTTCATATCTCTACTATGGAAGTGCTGCTTAGGGTTGCTTCTTTTCCTTTTGCTGTTCTGCAGGGGGGGAGGAAATAATCCAAGGATAGCAACGCCATGAAATACAGATCACATTACAACAGGTAAAACAACCCTCAATGTTTTCCAAAGCATGACATAAATTTTACTAATTGTACTAGAATTTGAGTAACTGTGATGCACTACATCATAAGCTTTGTCTTTGTGCCTTAAAAGTAGATCAAGGAACCCTGTAAAGTAGATTAAATTAACTTTATTAGGTTAAATACAATGATTTCTCCCACGATCCTCACAACTTCAAGAGCCTAAGTTAATGCTTATTGTTTTGATATACTTTGCTTTTATTGTGTTGTGTTTTTTTTAAGGCTTCTCTTGTCTTTGCTCCAAAAATCGTGAGAGACAAATATATATACGTGCATATCGGATCTTGGGACGCGGGTGGTGCTGTGGGTTAAACCACAGAGCCTAGGACTTGCTGATCAGAAGGTCGGCGGTTCGAATCCCCACAACGGGGTGAGCTCCCGTTGTTCGGTCCCTGCTCCTGCCAACCTAGCAGTTCGAAAGCACTTCAAAGTGCAAGTAGATAAATAGGTACCGCTCCAGCGGGAAGGTAAACGCCGTTTCCGTGTGCTGCTCTGGTTCGCCAGAAGTGGCTTAGTCATGCTGGCAACATGACTTGGAAGCTGTACGCCGGCTCCCTCAGCCAATAAAGCGAGATGAGCGCCGCAACCCCAGAGTCGGTCACGACTGGACCTAATGGTCAGGGGTCCCTTTATGTTTACCTGTATTGGATCTTAGATCTACAGAAGCTGTTCAATCTAAGTTCCTAGGGCCATTTTTCCCCTGTTCCATCCTGTGTTCCAAATGCCTCATTGCGCTTGGAGGCTAATCCCCTCTGTTGAATTACAGATTTGGTACAGGACATTTAATTATTGGCTTTGGCTAAATTTAAACCCCCTGGTCTACTACCCTTTGAATCGCAAGATTGTCATGAGAGCGCTTGGACTAAAATTGTCAACCAAAAGATTTACTTTTCTGGTTTATCACCACAACAGTTATTAACAACCAGGCTTCAGAAAGCAAATAATTAAATCTGACAGCGCCTATATCAGGCATCCCCAACCTTCGGCCCTCCAGATGTTTTGGACTACAATTCCCATCATCCCTAACCACTGGTCCTGTTAGCTAGGGATGATGGGAGTTGTAGACCAAAACAACTGGAGGGCCACAGGTTGGGGATGCCTGGCCTATACGATATCGAGCAACAGAATAATTTGGCCACGATAAGGAATTTTTTTCCATGGTATGATTATTTTCCACCTAGTCATTTTGAAACTTTGGCACCTTATTTGCAAAATTTGACAATTCCAAAATAGATGCGCTTTTACTTCCACAAGATTGAATATACTGCTTTCGACTGTATTTGAGGGTTGATTTAAAAAATATCGCTGGAAAAACAGTTATGTCCCTGTGGAGATGGCAGTATTGAGTCAGTGGCTCTTGTGCTTCTGGCTTGCACTCTTTATAAAGGTTTGAGGAGTGAGGTTCTCTATTATTCTCCATGTTGGGTCGCTCAACCATTGCTACTGCGGCCTTCCTTTTAGCAGATGAAGATGATCAGGTTACAGCAAAAACTGCAAGGTTTTAGCAGGGGCAATTAGAATAAGAGCTATTACTTGATTATTGATGTAAACCTCAAAAATGTATTTTGTATAGTTAAGCTTTTACCTCTACCTTCAGTACATTTTATTTTATTTTATTGTTATGGCTAGTGGTTGATGCAAATAAAGATTCTTCTGAATATATATATATATATATTCTCTCTCTCTCTCTCTCTCTCTCTCTCTCTCTCTCTCTCTCAAATGCATCATAATATCTGGCTTCTTTCTGAGTTGCTATTCTGAACACAGATGCCTGCTCATTTCAACCACAGTAGTCCATAAGTATCAAGTATACATAAAAAGGAATTTGAGGACAACACTCATTCACACCAAGAAAAAAAAATACTGGCACCCAAAGAATTCCAGAAGACATATTTCTTTTGGTGCCATCTGAAGATCACGTGGGATGGAAGTAGAACCCATGTTTCCTATATTTTTTCAAAAGTATACACTCTGTTCTTTTTGGAGCAGCAATCAACATCCATAGCAACTGAATTTTGGACTTGGTTGGATGCTATATTCAGATGGGTTTTATTTCTTTCTGCCAAACACCTGCCATTTGGCACAGTCAGGATAATTCGTAGGGCAGTAATTTAAAGTGCTTTCCATAGCTGGAAATTATACATTATGTTTGCCCTGGCAGTAATTGCTTGTAGATTCTCTCTAATTCTTCCGTTTCACAGAAGATATCTGTGAGCTGACACTAGCAGGAGTCTGGCATAATGTTGTTTCCGAAGAACATGATTTATTTCTTTTTTTTATGATTGGGGACCATTAGATAAATAAGTGCTATTGTCTGTGTGCACCACATTCAGTGCCTACATACTGTCAGAGTTATGTCCGTATCGATAAAAAAGACAAGCACTTCCTAGAACCTGCTGAATCCATTGCTTAACAGAGCTAAACAGACTTCGCTTGAGAGTTCAATACCAATTTGTTTCCCGTATCAGAAATCTTAGAAAGGGACACTCAAGTTGACATCCAGCTTGAAACACCTTGTGCAAATAGTTCTGAGTGAATCAGTAAGTACTGTAGCCACAGTGGGAGAAATCAGAGGCACACAATGTCACACCTTTGATTCCATCCAGGAGTCAGTGAGCACTACAGTGGTACCTCAGGATGCGAACGAGATCCGTTCCGGAGCCCCGTTCGCATCCCGAATGGAACATAAGATGTGACGGTGCGTCTACGCGTGACATCATTTTGAGTGTCTGCACATTCGGCGAAACCCGGAAGTAATGCGCTCCGTTACTTCCGGGTTGCCGCGGAGCGCAACTCGAACGCGCTCAACCCGAAGCACATTCAACTCAAGGTATGACTGTATAGAAAAATGCAGTTTTACTGGACTACTGTCAACTACTATCTAGAGTTGTGGGGGGGGGGAGTGAAGACCCAATTTAGCACAGCACCCTTGTGGCCTCTTAGCATACTTGCTTTGGGCAGGTGTATGTACATATATGGTGGGACACAGGTGGCACTGTGGGTTAAACCACATAGCCTAGGACTTGCCAATCAGAAGGTCGGCGGTTCGAATCCCCCCGGCAGGGTGAGCTCCCATTGCTCGGTCCCTGCTCCTGCCATCCTAGCAGTTCAAAAGCACGTCAAAGTGCAAGTAGATAAATAGGTACTACTCCGGCGGGAAGGTAAATGGTGTTTCTGTGTGCTGCTCTGGTTCGCCAGAAGCGGCTTAGTCATGCTGGCCAATAAAGCGAGATGAGCGCCTCAACCCCAGAGTCGGCCATGACTGGACCTAATGGTCAGGGATCCCTTTACCTTTACGTACATATATATGTAAAGTCCTTCTCTTATACAGAGAACAAGCCCTTCTGGGTGTAGCTCAAACATTTGCAGAACCTTTTCCCAATTGTGGCCTTGATGCCAGGGGCGGTGCAGTGGGTACAGGCCGCCCCAGGTGTCACCACTGAGGGGGGTGACAAAATGCCGGGCGGCACTCACCACAGGCCCTGCAGCGTGCCCAAGCCATACGTCTCTCCTGGGAGTAACGTGGTGGCTTGGGTGCGCGCACGCTCCGCGCTGCCCAAACGGTCTGCCTGCTGCCTACCCCCCAGCTGTAGGGCGGCTGAATGGGAGGAGGCAGGCAGACTCCGGAGGCCCCGCGGTGTGCCCTGCCCCTATGGGAGACTCGCCTGCCCTGGGCGGCTTCCTGCGCCGCTGCCTGACACTACTCAAGAACTGTGTCCATGTAAGGTACTCAGGAGAGAGCAACACAGTGAAGACCAGAGCTTTCCCAGATACGGGATTTTATTAAGAAGCTAAAGCAAACTGCAATTTTATAAGCTAGCTATCAGCGGCTGCCCCAGAGAAGGGGGTGGTAAAAGGGGAAGAGAAGCAGCTAAACAATTCAAACGAGGACCAGAGTGCAGGAAAGGGTGTTACCCAAAAGTATATTTTCCTTAACAGAGCAAGGTGGTGTGTGTGTGTGTGTGTGTGTGTTTATATGCTTTGCATCAGGAAAAGTGTGGGGGAAAAGGGAGAACCCTTCCCTCGGGGCTGCAGTCCAGAGCTGAATTAGGGAAGTCTGCAGAGAGAGAGAGAGAGAGAGAGAGAGAGAGAGAGAGAGAGAGAGAGAGATGGAAGATACAATTCTGGATTTTCAAGGTCTCTTCTCTTCTCTGGTCCTAAAATGGTTGTCATCACTTGCATATCTTTACAGCTGAGTCCCACATATGTATTACCCTTGATGTAAAGGAGAACGCCCTTTTATCATTCAAGGGTCAGTTGCCAGAGAAACAGCTTGGTGCTGATTAGAACTGCTCATAGCATCCTGAAGAACAGTTTTGCGATTTCCATATGAATACCTTAATTATTCTGACAATTCTGTCAGAATAGCAAGCTCAACCTGCTGGTATAAAAACAGCAACAGCAAAGCGGGATTAAAAATGTAAAAAGCACCTATTTATTTTGAAGTCTTTTGAAAGCAGGCTTGGAGCAAACAGTTCGCAGTTGTTAAAAAGAAAGAAAAGTGTATTTGTGTGTGCGCAAAAGCCTTGGCAACAAATATGCTGTTGTGCTCCAGCGAACTATGATGATAAAATGGACTTAATGACTTAACTTTCACAGGAAACTCCTTACCTTCTTTTTCCCTGACATATTCCATTCTTTTAGAACTTGAAGTGCACTGCCTAGAGGAGAGAGAGAGAGAAAAAAAGAGACTTCAGCAAGTCAACAATAACCCCCTTCCTGGCTGTTGACCATTTGCTCAATTTATTTTCATTGTTTTGGTCAATGTGTCCCAAGAGTCAGTGAAAATGGTATTTCATTTCCTTTAGTTCGCTTGTCTTAAAACAAGAGAATGTTACCTGTTACCTGTTCCTGTCCCTTGCAGGCTGCTTTGAAAAACGGCAGGTTAGCAACACAGCTGAGCCCAGAATTTAAGCAGGTGCTTAGACTTAAGCGGGACACGGGTGGCGCTGTGGGTTAAACTACAGAGCCTAGGACTTGCCGATCAGAAGGTCGGCGGTTTGAATCCTCGCAACGGGGTGAGCTCCCATCGCTCGGTCCCTGCTCCCGCCAACCTAGCAGTTTGAAAGCACGTCAAAGTACAAGTAGATAAATAGGTACCACTCGGGCGGGAAGGTAAACGGCGTTTCCGTGCGCTGCTCTGGCTTGCCAGAAGCAGCTTAGTCATGCTGGCCACATGACCTGGAAGCTGAACGCCAGCTCCCTCGGCCAATAAAGCGAGATGAGCGCCGCAACCCCAGAGTTGGTCATAACTGGACCTGATGGTCAGGGGTCCCTTTACCTTTAGACTTAAGCACCCAAGTGGAGAGGCTGTCATGTACCTTGCTCTAGGTATCTCTGCCTTCTGGTGAAATCGACAACCAAAAACAACAAGAACTTTCCTTAAAAGTGCATCTTTCTTATGAGGTCACCCTTCTACATAGTGGGTGGGTTTAGTCACCACAACCATTTCTGCTCACCCAGCAGAACAATCTCCTCTCTCCTCCCCACAGCAGACAGTTCAGGGTGTTCTCCTGACCCTCCACAGCAGATTTGGGGGGAGGCCTAGAGGGCACACAGCAGAGGGGAGGCAAGGGAGAAAAGACACAGCACACTAGCAGGAGCCATTGCTCCCGCGTCTACTAACAGTACCCGATAGCTGAATCCTGCCCCGTGTCCAATTGTTTCTCAACCTACACTTAGGTTACCAGACACCCCCGTTTCCCAGGGACAGTTCCTGGATTTACAAATCAGTCCCCATACAAAATCCATTGAAGTTGAAAAGTGTCCCCGGATTCATTGAAAAAAATCTGGTAACCTTAACAGGCTAGTCCTCAAGCTCACAATGAACGAATAATGAGTAATAGATAAAATGCAACATGGTGAAATCTCAGGAGCTAGAGTTGGGCTGAGTAAGGAATCCAGCTTCCAGAGAATGTGGAGTCAGTGCTCTGCATAGCTGTTTGCGTTGGCTCATGACAATCACAATCCATTTTAAAACTAAAGGCGTAAATTATACAGTGCATGTATTGCATACTGATAGTTAAAATAATAGCGTTACTGAGAACCATACCGCACATATGGACCACCAAAGTCATTTTGCTCGCTTTAGAATAGCCTAAGGATTTGAATTAAGTCTTAAAAGCAAATTTAATGCTTGTTCTGGGCCTCCTGTGGTTTAACAGGATTTCCTTCTTCCGTGAGAAAACACAGTGTAAAGGGTTTGTTTTTGACAAATCAAAGGGGCAGGGATTTTAAATAAGGAATAACTACCCATGTGAAACTTGCAGTAATGAAATGTTTCCTAAATTTAGCTTTTCTACCAGACTTTGTCATTTGCCCAAGAATCTAAACTGGCTTGAGTATGTTTTTAACCTTTTTGATTTGGTACTTTAAGAAATATAAGGTTTATATGAAAAGTTGAAAATGAACCTCAGGACGTTTTTCCTTGTTTGTTATCCATTGCTATCTCCCGCTAGGTAATGTTTTCTGACATCTATTGAAAGGGAGGCAGTCAGCAAATAATACTTGGCATTGCAATCCGCATTCATACACCCCCTCTCCAAATATGAACAAGACAAACTGCAGACTGGAAGAGGAAGGTTTGCACAATTTTTAAAAGCAACCTTCCAGCATTCTACACAGGCCAATTAAACCCATATTTAAGTTTGTTTGGTTAGTTCATGGACACGAAATGTGCTATGAAAAGGTATAAAAATGAGCAGATGCAGGAAGTGGAGGGTGGTCTATTAAGCCAGGAGTGCCCAAACAAAGATTTGATGAAGTGAACATGCGTGGTGAGGGCCAACCAAAATTGTTGAACTTTTTTAATGATTTTACCCCAAAGTTCTTGAGCTTTTTTTACGATTCTACCCCAAAGTTCTTGAGCTTATTTTAGGAGTTTACCCCAGGAGATAGACTGCCACAGGGGGCCATATTAGGCCCCCAAAACAATCCTTGGGGCAATGTATGTCCTTAACGAGCACTGTGCATAGACCTTTGGCAGCTAATGCAGCCAATGGTCTCAGCTTCTTAACCATGTGAAGTTAAGGCGCAAGTTCCTTTCCTCCTCTGGGGGTCGGTACCAACCTTAGCTGCAGTTAATGCCTAGTAAGGTTTCCCTGGGGTGGGATGCAGGTGGTTCGCCAGAAGCAGCTTAGTCATCCTGGCCACATGACCCAGAAGCTGTACGCCGGCTCCCTCGGCCAATAAAGCGAGATGAGCACGCAACCCCAGAGTCGGTCACGACTGGACCTAATGGTCAGGGGTCCCTTTACCTTTACCTTTACCAGGGTTTCCTACCACCTTAAGAACCTGCTTTCAAATCCTCATTTTCCAAAAGGAAACATGGACCCTGCATAAAGCATGCCTGGAACCCCTGGAATCTCACAACGCTTGGAGATTGGGGTGATACGTGATGTTATCTACACAGGGATTTTTATACAGAGTATACATGCCCACACAGGTTGGCTAACTCTTGACTTTTTAGAACGGTCTCTCAGGTTGCTAAGAAAGACATCATAATATCTTAGGAAATTCTGAATGTTCACTTTTTAGCAGCATATACACATGTGGACTGTCCAAAATGGTGTTACTTTTCACAGTGTCTGTGAAATAGAAAAAGGATACAGACCATCCACAAAAGCTTGTACAGCTTTGTCGACGTTGTTATCAAACTGCTGTAGCACCAGCACTATTTCATTGTTGCTTTTGTTGGGTACAATTGATCGCACCGCATTGATCTGCAAGCAAGAGAGATGAACACAGGCATCTTAAAACACAGAAAAGGCACGCCACACCGCAAGGCAAGTAGGTATTTTTCACACAAATGCCCCACAATTCTGCAAAGGACTGTTTGTGCTACGTAGTAAGAGCGCCTTAACTACGCCACAATTACATCCAAAACACGTAAAATAACAAATGAAAACCATTCCCATTCCTTCCCACGCACTTCTGACGATTCCCTGAATGCTGATCTAGGTTGCAGTATATTATTTCTTTAGCAACAACTTTCCCCAACGGCACATGAAATTGGTGCTGATATTTTCCATTTATTTGCATCCTGTAGACTGCTTGATAAGTCTTAACTGATTTTCAGCCAATGGTACAAAAGCACAGCTGTATGTATGAATATGTATGCATGTATGTATTTACACACACACACACACACACACACACACACACACACACACACTTTGCCAGCCTGGATATGCTCTTGACATTTAAGATGGTTGGAGCAGCACTTTAACACTGTACAATTTCAACAAAATGAGATGCACTACAAGCCCCGTTTCCCTGGCCAAATTCAGCTCCCCCACTGTGCTGACTTTTATGCTTCTCCTAGCATGCTGTGTAGAATCATAGAACTGCAGAGTCTGAAGGGACTCCAAGGGTCATTTAGTCCAACCCCCTGCAATGCAGAAATCTCAACTAAATCATACACGGCAGATGGTGATCCAACCTCTGCTAAAAAAACCAAACCTTCAAGGAAGGAGACCTCTTGTCCCCAGCTTGTCAATATCCTTCTTGAATTGTGGTGCCCAGAACTGGACATACTACTCCAGGTGTGGTCTGATCAAGGCAGAATAGAGCGGGAGGTGGGTGGCGCTGTGGGTTCAACCAAGAGCCTAGGACTTGCCGATCAGAAGATCGGCGGTTCGAATCCCCAAGACGGGGTGAGCTCCCGTTGCTCGGTCCCTGCTCCTGCCCACCTGGCAGTTCGAAAGCACGTCCAAGTGCAAGTAGATAAATAGGTACCACTCCGGCGGGAAGGTAAACGGCGTTTCCGTGCGCTGCTCTGGTTTGCCAGAAGCGGCTTAGTCATGCTGGCCACATGACCCGGAAGCTGTACGCCGGCTTCCTCGGCCAGTAAAGCGAGATGAGTGCCGCAACCCCAGAGTCGGTCACGACTGGACCTAATGGTCAGGGGTCTCTTTACCTTTACCTATGATTTCCCTTGATCTGGATATTATATTTCTGTTGATGCAGCCTAGAACAGCATTGGCCTTTTTTTTGCTGCTGCATCACTCTGTTGACTCATGTTAAGCTTGTGGTCTACTAAGACCCCTAGATCCTTTTACATGAGGTGCAGGGTGACGGATATGGGCAGAGTGCACCTAGAAGACCTCGTCTCATCTTGAGAAGAAACCCCCTCAGGATGTGCCCTTTGATAACCTCCTGCTGACTCATCGAATGTTGCTACCACTGCAGAAGACAGCAACAGACAGAGAATAGAGGGGTGGTCGAATAGGGATAAAGAAGGATGCAGAATTGTACTGTTGGATTCTAAATCTCATCAGCCCCAGCGAGTGCGACCAATGGTCAGGGATGTGGGTGTTGTAAAGGTAAAGGGACCCCTGACCATTAGGTCCAGTCGTGGCCGACTCTGGGGTTGCGGCGCTCATCTTGCTTTATTGGCCGAGGGAGCCGGCGTACAGCTTCTGGGTCATGTGGCCAGCATGACTAAGCCGCTTCTGGTGAACTAGAGCAGCGCACGGAAACGCCGTTTACCTTCCCCCCAGAGTGGTACCTATTTATCTACTTGTACTTTGACGTGCTTTCGAACTGCTAGGTTGGCAGGAGCAGGGACCGAGCAACGGGAGCTCACCCCATCGCCGGGATTCGAACCGCCGACCTTCTGATCGGCAAGTCCTAGACTCTGTGGTTTAACCCACAGCGCCACCCACGTCCCTGATGGGTGTTGTAGTCCCCCCCCAAAAAATATGGAAGGTCGTGTGCTTATTGACCGTCTTTTTATATTATTCTATAACACAGAATCAGTCGTTATTCTGTTTACAGACAATATTAGATAGCTGTTTTAAGGCAACCAAATGCCATCAGTCAATAACCATAGTCTCAGCATATTTTCCCACTTTACCCATGGCTAAGGCAAAAAGCCCTATATCATTATCATTGTGGTATTTAATGGAATGCATCAAGGCCCTCAGATAAATGATACGATTTTATCATTTTCATAATTTGATGGGGGAAAGTCAGCATTTATCAAGCTAGGCCAGGAAAAGTCTAGAACTGCAGAGAGATTAAATGCTTTTCAGATATTTTCTTGCGCACAGAATTCTCATTTTTATGGGCAGGGTAATAATAAAATAATAATTATTATTAATAGCTTGAACTATTTTCTTTTGAATTTGGCACCTTCTTATTCCCTTAAAACTCCTTATTAAGAGATTTGGGCCAAAAAAAAATGGGGAAATGGAGACAGAGATCAGTAACCAAAAGAAACAGGTCCAAATAAGCTTTACTGAGGCAGGAATGCAGAGTAGGGTCGCAACTTTCCAAATAGCCCAGTGGAGCCTGCCAAGAACCAGAGGAGTTGATTAAATATTTCATCTCCAGTGGGAAGGCAGCCGTGGCCAGTATATTTTTTAAAACATCTGAAGGTTCTGGACCTATATGTTGTGTATATGGAGCAGTATGATAATTAGAGATCTTACCTTTTCCTTGATGTTTGCTTGCGAGCCAATTTCTGCCATCTCCAATTTGATATGGATAAGACCTGCAGGTCACAATAAGTTAAATAAACAGTATTATTTTAGTAATCCAAATGCTTCCCTTGCTATGGAAATGCTTTGCTGCTATGTTCATTTGTAAAAAAAATGAACTACATTGACAAGAAAAATAAAGACATTTTATATGCACTTTCCTTATAATTTTTCGTTTTAGACTATCTCAAGCATATTTTTTATTTTTTCTCTTTAGGATATCTCAAACATGGAAATGCTTTCAAACCCTCAGGCTGCATATTAATGTCATCATCCTGCACTTACCTGGCAGTAAATTTAATCTGAACACAATGGGATAGATTCTGCTATAAAGTTTCAATCCTAGGAACGATCATAAAATTGCCAACTTTTTGTCAGCCCTTGGTTTTAACCGAACTTGATTGTCAGACATTAGGGCAGGAGTGGGAAATCTCCGGCCCTCCAGATGATGTCAGAGTAAAATTCCCATCAATCCTAGCAATTGGCCATGTTGGAAGGAGCTGATTGGAACTGGATCCCCACAATATCTGGAGGGCTACTGATCTCCTTTCTCTGCAGTTGGTGAGAATACTCTGAATAAAGTTCACCTGCTAATTTCTGTGGATTTGAGCAGCTGTTAAGGACAAAAAAATAGGCTAAATCATTGGTTTTCTTGGGGGGGACGGGACATTCCTAGCAGGAAAAAGTGGTTTGCATGGGTGTAGCTGGGGGGGGGGGGCAGAGAGGGATAGCTGCCCCCCTAAATCAATAAAAATACATAGCTAACTGAGGTTCTGCCCCCCCCCTAAAAAAAGGTCTGCAACCCCAAATCCTGGTTATGCCCATGTAACTAAGGCGCTTCTGTTGGGTGGGGGATAATTCCTCTGGCAGCCCTACCTGAAGTATCATAATAATTTATTATTTATACCCCGCCCACTTGGCTGGGTTTCCCCAGCCACTCCGGGCGACTCCCAACCGAATGTTTAAAACGCAATACAGCATTAAACATTAAAAACTTCTCTAAACAGGGCTGCCTTCTGATGTCTTCTAAAAGTCAGATAGTTGTTTATTTCCTTGACATCTGGTGGGAGGGCGTTCCACAGGGCAGGTGCCACCACCGAGAAGGCCTTCTGCCTGGTTCCCTGTAACCTCACTTCTTGCAGTGAGGGAACCACCAGAAGGCCCTTGAAGCTGGACCTCAGTGGGGGTGGAGACGCTCCTTCATGTATACTGGGCTAAGGCCGTTTAGGGCCTTAAAGGTCAGCACCAATACTTTGCATTGTGCTCGGAAACGTACAGGGAGCCAATGCAGGTCTCTCAGGACCGGTTTCTAAGCATTTTAACAAAACAGAAAAGTAGTTTAGCATCTCTGTAAACATGTTTGCTATTACAGTGGTACCTCGGGTTACAAACGCTTCAGGTTACAGATTCCACTAACCCAGAAATAGTACCTCAGGTTAAGAACTTTGCTTCAGGATGAGAACAGAAATTGTGCGGTGGCAGCGGGAGGCCCCATTAGCTAAAGTGGTACCTCAGGTTAAGAACAGTTTCAGGTTAAGAACGGACATCCGGAACGAATTAAATTCTGAAACTGCCTTGGTCGCACTGGTTGATGATCTCCGGCGGGCTAGGGACAAAGGTGAGAGCTGTTTCCTAGTTCTGCTGGATCTCTCAGCGGCGTTTGATACCATCGACCATAGCATCCTTCTGGACCGTCTTGAGGGGCTGGGAGCTGGGGGCACTGTTATACAGTGGTTCCGCTCCTTCCTCCTGGGCCGTGTTCAGAAAGTGGTGGTGGGGGATGAGTATTCAGACCCCTGGGCTCTCACTTGTGGGGTGCCTCAGGGTTCTGTCCTCTCCCCCATGCTTTTCAACATTTACATGCAGCCGCTGGGAGAGATCATCAGGAGGTTTGGGCTGGGTGTTCATCAGTATGCGGATGATACCCAGCTCTACCTCTCTTTTAAATCAGAACCAGTGAAGGCGGTGAAGGTCCTGTGTGAGTGTCTGGAGGCGGTTGGAGGATGGATGGCGGCTAACAGATTGAGGTTGAATCCTGACAAGACAGAAGTACTGTTTTTGGGGGACAGGAGGCAGGCAGGTGTGGAGGATTCCCTGGTCCTGAATGGGGTAACTGTGCCCCTGAAGGACCAGGTGCGCAGCCTGGGAGTCATTTTGGACTCACAGCTGTCCATGGAGGCACAGGTCAAATCCGTGTCCAGGGCAGCTGTTTACCAGCTCCATCTGGTACGTAGGCTGAGACCCTATCTGCCTGCGGACTGTCTCGCCAGAGTGGTACATGCTCTGGTTATCTCCCGCTTGGACTACTGCAATGCACTCTACGTGGGGCTACCTTTGAAGGTGACTCGGAAACTACAACTAATCCAGAATGCGGCAGCTAGACTGGTGACTGGGAGCGGCCGCCGAGACCATATAACACCGGTCTTGAAAGACTTGCATTGGCTCCCAGTACGTTTCCGAGCACAATTCAAAGTGTTGGTGCTGACCTTTAAAGCCCTAAACGGCCTCGGTCCAGTATACCTGAAAGAGCGTCTCCACCCCCATCATTCTGCCCGGACGCTGAGGTCCAGCGCCGAGGGCCTTCTGGCGGTTCCCTCATTGCGAGAAGCAAAGCTACAGGGAACCAGGCAGAGGGCCTTCTCGGTAGTGGCGCCCACCCTGTGGAACGCCCTTCCAGCAGATGTCAAAGTGATAAATAACTACCTGACATTCAAGAGACATCTTAAGGCAGCCCTGTTCAGGGAAGTTTTTAACATGTGATATTTTATTGTATTTTTGGTTTTTATGGAAGCCGCCCAGAGTGGCTGGGGAGGCCCAGCCAGATGGGCGGGGTATAAATAATAAATTATTATTATTATTATTATTATTATTATTATTATTATTATTATTATTATTATTATTATTACCAGAGGTACCACTGTATAAGTGTAATAAGCAGCCAAGGTAGTTTGGTGGATTTCTTAGAGATGAGTGAAAGGACAGTGACTGTGGTTGTCTCCCATTAAATAGTCATATAATATGACTTCCTTTCACAAAAGTATACACAAAGTCCAGGAAATCCTTAATTGGGATACGGAAGGCACAGCAGAATCGGGACCTTAAAGATGAGACCCACCAAACTGACAGCAATAGTGGAGATAGAAGGACCTTTTAAGCTAAAGATTCTTCTTCTGAGAATGAGGAAGAGGGAGGAAGGTCTCTTCCATGCCAGTGAATTCAAGCCCTGAATACTAAATGGACTGAACACAGGGTATGTATAGAAAGCCTGCTAGAGAAAGCTTTTCAAGTCTGAATGTCAGCTTTAATATTATGCCTCTTTCTTTAGCAGCATCTCATTCACATTTCTGATACTGAAATGTCATTGCATGATCAGTCTTGTAAAAAGAAAAGAGAGAGAGAACTGGAGGGGAGAGAGATTAAATAAAAGAAATAAAGGATCTCTTATTTAAAGAAGGTCTCACCTTCTGAAACTGGTTTCCAAGCGCATGTTTCTTGAGACAGTAAAATGCTTTTCTATTTATTCCTTACATAGCAAGGGACAGGAGGGCAGCCTCTGTTCTCATTCAAACTACACACCCTTTCCTTGCAAAACTGAGCAAGTTAAATATAACAGCCGTACACTGGAGGGGAAAGCAACAGAAAGCCTTTCCATTTTGCTGGAGCTTTTCTCCCATATGGAAAGTAGCTGTGACTTTCTCATGAAAGAAGAACAAAGAGACATTCAATGAACTAAGAAGCGCCAAATTCTATAACGGAAAGCAACAACCCTGACACACTGTATTGGAATTTAGAGGCTCAAAAAAGGCATTTTTTAATTTTATTTTTAAGGAAGATGTATTTATGGCTGTCTTTTCTATTTAAAGATGGAAGTGTTCACAGTTCTACTTTTGCATGGCTTGTAGAACTCATTGCAAATTTTGATGAGATATGGAACTTTGAGAAATCTTGCATTAACCTCTAAGCTAAGGCTGCTTGTATTTCAAAAAGCAAATAAAGTTTTTCAGCTATTTTTTTAAAAAGGAAATTTGCCCCCCAAAATCAACACTTCCAATATGGGCTGCCAGGTTTTCCTGGACATTTCAACCAATTATAAAAAATTTTCGACTGGACACAAATATGATCTGAGCATTTCCCCCCCAAGATAACATGAGGACATTCTTTTCTTACTTCCATGTGAGCAGTGTTAGCATACTGCAGCAAAACCAAAACAACTGTTGCTTCTGATGCAGTGGGGTGCTACTAAGACAGTAATGGCCAAACTTGGCCCTCCGGCTGTTTTGGGACTACAATTCCCGTCATCCCTGACCACTGGTCCTGTTAGCCAGGGATGGTGGGAGTTGTAGTCCCAAAACAGCTGGAGGGCCATGTTTGGCCATCACTGTACTAAGAGGTGACCATAGAAACATAAGCAGAGATTGGACGCTGGATCAGGTCAAAGGCCCATCTAGTGCAGCACTTTGCTCTTACAGTGACCAACCTATGCTGCCTTATGGGGAGCCTGTAAGCAGAACCCCAGCATGACATCACTCTCCTCACCTACGACTCCAGCAAATAGTACTTAGAGGCATATACAGCCTTTGAATGGGACGCGGGTGGTGCTGTGGGTTAAACCGCAGAGCCTAGGACTTGCTGATCAGAATAATAATAATAATAATAAATTTTATTTATATCCCGCCCTCCCCAGCCGAAGCCGGGCTCAGGGCGGCTAACAACAATAAAACAGTACAAAAGTACAACATAAACAACATTCTAAAATCATTCATTATAAAAATTAATTAAGAAGGTCAGCGGTTCAAATCCCTGCGACAGGGTGAGCTCCTGTTGCTCGCTCCCTGCTCCTGCCAACCTAGCAGTTTGAAAGCACATCAAAGTGCAAGTAGATAAATAGGGACCACTCCGGCGGGAAGGTAAACGGTGTTTCCATGCGCTGCTCTGGTTCACCAGAAGCGGCTTAGTCATGTTGGCCACATGACCTGGAAGCTGTATGCCGGCTCCCTCAGCCAATAAAGCGAGA